CCTGTGGGGAGAAACCACACTTCTTGAATTTCCCCCAAATTTCCCTTTTCCGGGGCCGTTTCCTCCCTGGTCTGATGTATGGGATGATCTCCAAGCCTGGGGAAGGAATATTAGCTCACAATCCCCTCTTCTGGGAAACCGCTGTAGGTCACTTCCTTCTGGACACCCCCCCCCCCCGCCATCCCCTGTAAACTGCCTTATTTTCATATTTATTTCTGTGAAGGGTACTTCTTGATTTTCAGTGTGGTTCCCGTTTCAGACTTTGAGCTTCCTGAAGTCCAGAGCATATCCTGGTCATCACTGGCCCCCAGATTTAGGCAGAATGGCCAGGAATATGTGTCCACTTGCAGCTGGCACATGCTGCTGAGGCCCCTAACAATTCAGGGTCACTGTGGCCACTCTAACACCCATCTCTCCCTGCATCACAGGGCACCGGCCACAAAGATTAGCACAGGGCCAGATCAGCACAGCACCTGCCTGGAAAGTGCAAGGTTCTGAGTTTGATTCCTGGTACCAAAACAAACAAATAAAAAGATGAGCACATTCTGAACAGCATCCCTGACGGTGAAAACGGCAGCTTCCTGGTGGGCCGGGTGCTCCCGGATTTTACATCTCATCCCTATACCTCAACATCCTAGACATTACAAACAGAAACATTTCCTGTGTGAAAAGAGTATCATTTGAGACTTAAGCGGAGAGGGGAAAGGGAGGAAGTACATTTTCGGGTGTAGGAGCTTCCTTCTGGTGTTGCTGGTGAAGTCTGCACACTGCTGATTGGCAGCATGGATGGTGTGAGCACCGCTGGCCCCCCAGCTTCAGCATTCAGAGCCCAGGCTTCTCACCGCAAAAGCGCCTGGAGCTTCTAAGTTCTCACTGCAAAGCTGCCTTCCAGCCTGCTGTTATTGCTTAAGGCTGTGCTGCAATCTGGAGAGCTCAGGAGTGGGAAGTCCAGAGTTCTCCCTGCTTCTGGGAACAGCCCCCCATCCCCCTCCCCGCTTCGGCTTCCACAGGCAATACTCATGACAGTGGGCCCGGCTCACCCATGGATTTCACAAACGCCTGGCCTGTTCCCAGCACAGTACAGCTGGGAGGGCTCAGGGCTGGGGGAAGGAGCACCATCCTCCACTGTAGCCCCACCGTCCTTGGGCCCAAGGCCTCAAGGCCTGGGGCTGGAGAAGAGAGACAGAGAGAGAGAGAGAGAGAGAGAGAGCGCGAGAGAGAGCGAGCAGTTCTTGTCCAGGCTTGCTGCAGCACAGCACAGCAGTAAACTCTGGCCTTCCCTCCTTGCTCATTTCTTAGCTCTGCCTCAGCCAAGGGACTAGGAGGAAATTCCTTGTCCGGGAAGAGAATTTGCCATCCCCAAAGGCTGCCCCACTACAGGAGGTCTCAGAGTCACCTGTTGAGATGATTATTCAGAGTGCAGGTCTATCCTCAGGTGGCTGATTCAGAACTGGTGGCAGGGATGGGGGGTGTTTGTCCAGTAGTCAGCTATTTTATCCCCAGCCCAGGGAATGGGCCACGGGTGACTCCCTAGGATTAGGGACCAGAGTGGGCGATTCTGGGCAGAGAACAGGGTGTAGTGGAAAAAGCCATGGCTTCTACATTCCAGCCTCCAGGCCCACCCTTCTAGCCCCATGGTCATATGGCCCTGAAAACTGTCCTTAGATTTGGGGCCTTAGTTTCTTTCTCTCTAAAATGGGTATGTCCTGGACTGGGGGTAGAATGACCAACTGACTTAGTTTGCTAGACATTCGCACCAAACTGGTTGTGCCTATACAGGGGATGAAAAGGTAACCTGAGGGCCGAGGGGCACAGCCTGCCTGGCAAGCAGGAGGTTGTAAGTTTGACTGCTAAAATAAGGAAAAAAGAAAATGTGTTTCTTCGGGACACACAAGGGACAGTCTGTATTAATTTACATATTTAGCTGTACTACTAGTTAATTGTTAGGGTGCTTACACCCAACTCCACTCCTGGCTGGCTCCAGAGAACCAGGTCTCCCTTAGGGCCTTGTCTTGTTGGACCCCAAATACCTTGGGTCTAGGTTAGCCGCTGGCGGCTGAAAAGGTGAACGAATGAAGTGAGGCGCCAGCGACGGGCTCGCTGGATGGAGCTGGGGAGGGGGTTGCTCGGCTGGCCTGGTGGGGAATTCAGTGGCTCTGGTACCAGAAACCCGGGACACTCGCGGCCAGGAGCAGTGTTAGGTTTCTGAGCAGCCCTCCAGAGGGGTCAGAGACCCCAGCCTGCTGCCGACCAGCGACGTGCTCCCTCCGTCTCCACCCCAGGGAGGCGAGCCTGGCAGCCTCAAGGCCGAATTTCCTGGCACTAAACTGAGAATAAACAGCGCCAAGAGCCTGTAATCCCGTTGCCTTGGCGACGGCGCTCCACGGGATGGGGCGTGGTGGGGGCGTGACGGGCCTGGAGGGGGCGTAATCGTGCCGTGGCGCGCACGCTCCGTGGGGCGGGGAGACCCGAGAGGTGCCACCCCTCTAGCTCGGCGCGGACATTCTTCGCATAACTCCGCTAGGGCTCCGGCGGTGTCCGGGAAGTGACACTTCCTGGCAGAGGGCGGCCTCGGAGCGAAGCGCCCGCCCGCCCGACGGCCGCCAAAATGGAGGGGGCGGGGCGCGGGTCGGGGCTCCTCGGCTTGGGGTTCTTCTGCTCACCCTCCGCCGCGCTCCTGGGACTGGATCCCCTGTGCCTGCAGACTTCTGTTTCTGCCTCAACTCCCTTTTAATCTACCCACCCCCGAGCTTCTCTGCCTGGCAAACCTGTGGTGCCCCCTCCCGAACATCCTTACCCCTTTAATTCTAGGACACCTCACGCGGACTTATTTTCCATTGCTGGCTCCCCTGTCTGCGGCCTCCTTCCTCCCTCCCTCCCCCTAAGGACTTGGCTCGGAGTCATCAGGAGGCCTGCCCAAATACAGCACCAGGGAGGATGGGGCCTCTTGGGGTGGATTCCAGCAGGGTACAAGGCCTTTCTGCTGGCCATAGAATACCTGCACAAGCCACAGGAAATTGCCCTGCAGGCTCCTCCTAGCGCATCTTGGAGCCAGGAGCACCCAGCTTCTGGCAATCAGGACAGAGGGCTCCCCACTATGTCCTTTGGAGGAGGGGGCCCTTCCTCTAAAAAGACTGAGATCTACAGGATTAATGGAGGTGATGTTTAACAGACGGGAAAGAGGAAGGAACCAGTGGCTTGCACAGCCATGCAAGGAAGAAACGGTCCGCAGGTGTGGCCACGGAGCCATTTGCTTCCCTTCTTTGGGCCTCAGTGTCCTTGTCTGCCAGTCCCAAAGGTTGAACCAGATGTAGAAGCAGATGGAAGGCTCGGGAGGGGACTGAACCGCAGGCAGGAAAGTGAGTCAGAGGTCCTGACTCTGCAGGTCCCCCAAGCCAACGTCCAACCCTACAGATATGGATACTGGACATCTTGGCCAAATGACCACACCCTAGGTCAAGGAGAGGCACAGGGAGCACTCCAGGGTCTGTGGAGGCTGCTGTCGCTGCAGAAGAGGTGGGTCTGCAGCGGGAGGCCAGTCATGACTGACCCACAGGCTCCAGGATAAGGAAGAGCCACCAGAGGCTTCTCAGAGCTCCTACTGTAAACCCAGGGGCCAGGGTTTACATGCATCCCCTCATCTGAACTCTGCTCTGGGGACATGAGCCTGCCTGGGTTTGCAGTCCCACTTCCAGAGCTGAAGGTCCCACTACTACGGCTCCAACAAGCTGTGTCCACTCAGTGGTCTCTTGTCCGGTCTGGCCCCTTCTCATCACTTTAGTTCACTTTCCCCAAAGTCCAGGAAATGAGAAAGAAAAATGATTTTATTTACTCTCGCAGTTGCCTTTTGGAAGCTGATTCCTGAAGCAGCTTATCGCCTGCTGGGGGCCAGGAAGAGGCTCTGGCTTTTATTGTAAGCATCTAAGTCAGATAAGGAGCCAGGCCCATGATTCCCATGATTCGGGGATGATACATCCCAACCCAGCAGCTGGTCTGGGGAAGAGTAGCAGGAAAGGATTACAGGTGTTTTGCTTTGGTTTTTGTTTTTTTTTAGGCAGGTCTCCCTGGGGGCAGCTATGGGCATTTACTTGGTGCATAGGGAGGCAGAGAAAGAGCTTATGGGCTTTGGAAATCCAGTGCTCCTGGGTTCAAACTGTCTGTTGTTCCCACATTCCCAGGGGCTGTGTCCTTGGGCAGGTTGTTTAACCTCCTGAACCTGAGTCCCTCCCACTACTCAGTTGACAAATATTTACTGAGCACCTATCTAGGCACCCGAAGTGACCAGTCCAAGCCCCTGCTGACACAAAGCTGTTGTACCTGAGAAGACCTTGCCTTTGCAGGGAGGCGTATCTCAGGAGTCATCCTGAGTGGCCTCTAAGTATGTGGGTGTGGGAGAAGATAGGCAAATAGGTGGACACTATTTTGGGGATGAGCATGGTACTGTTCACGGCTAAGCTGGGGGATGCCTGAGAAAGTGGGACCGAAGCTTGTAATGTGGAGTTTGGCCAGAAAGCGCTCTGAACACCTGGCAAGGTTTTCAGGGTGTCACGCCTCCTCTCCCCTCCCCTCCCTGAACCCACAGTGTGGAGGTCAACAGTCACGTCAGGGACAGCTCTCAGTGCTTTCTTGGATACCTCCTGCCAAGGAGCCGTGTGCCTCTAATAGCTTAGAGCTTCTCACAGCTCTGACCACAGCCCAACTCTGCTCCCTGCAAACCCTTTGAAGCTCTTCCTTCCAGCTTGTTTTGCATATTCTGGTCAGATCTGAATCAGACTGGCAGGAATTACCCCTCCTGCCAGCAGTCTAGGTGGCTGCCTTAGCTTGTCAGTGACACACTTGGGCGTGCGCAATGACAGGAAGGCTGGGAGCAAGGCAGTGCAGGAGCCCGGGCAGAGCCAGTGGCTCTGTGGCCCCCTCCTTCTCCTCCAAAGCTGGCTATTGGCAAGGGTGAAGAAGAAATTTAGGCAGACAGGTATGGGACGGGAAAGGCTCCACTCATGTTTTTCATTAAAAAATAGTGCTCTTTATTATAAATTACTGAAATGTTTCTTTTCTGAGTATAAATATAAATATGTGCAAAGTTTGACTTGGATTGGGATTTGGTTGAGTTCTTCAAGCATTTCCTAACAGCCTCGAAGGCTGGGGGGGTGGGGGGAGGTCGAGGACTGGAGGTGGAATCTTTATAAAAGACAGAGTGATTGAGGCAGATTGTAAACATTATTAAAAAACAAGAAACAAAAAACAGGAAAAGAAAACCACCCCAACACACAGTTTCCCCACCTTGTCTGATACCTGCCACAGAAAACTATGTGTTTGTTTAGTCCCCCGCCCCCAAAAAAGAACAGTTCCAGGTAATTCCATTGCTGCTACATTCCTGTAAGTTGTCCCTGATCAGTGCAGATTGCAGGGCCAGAGCAGCTGGAGTGGCAGGCGCCTGGATGACTTCCTGCCCCTACCCCAGGAGGAAGGAGGGCTGCGCAGGGCCTTTGAGACCTGGTGGCTCTGCTCTGACCACCAGGCACCTAGGACTAGCCAATACCAACAGGTCAACATTCTCCCAGTGCTGGGCTGGAAGGAGTGGGTCTCCACCCCTACCTGCATCTCCTGGCCAGTGGCTGGCTGGGTGCCCTCCAGAGAACCCCTAGCCTCTCCGCCCAGATAGGCAGACTGGGGATCTTGTGTGCCAGTCCCTATCCGTGGGACAGGGAGCATTTAAGGCACATCTCTAACCAGACACAGTCAGTAGGCACAACGTCGAATTCATCTTCTAGGATCAGAGATGGCACATCTCTCCCCGGCTGCCTGGCCAGGTGCTGGGCAATACAGCTCAGGCAGGCCAAGGAGGTTCACTGACCAGCCCGTTCACCCTGCCCAAATGCCACTTCCTCGTTCACATGGAGGAGGGGCTGGGGTACCCAGACAGTTTCCTTCAGGTCACCCCTTGCCCTTCTCCAACAGCCTGGGAGTGGAGCATGCAGCCACACTCTTCACCTGGGTTGGGCAGTAGGAGTGGCTGTTTCCTGAGCCAGCCTGCACCCTGGGGCTCCTCAAGCACCCTCTTTTCCATCCTCTATCCCAAGCCCCTCGCCCTGCTCAGATTTAAACCAAATCAAAGCACAAGTTCTGTTGGAAAGTTAGAAGGTTCCCGGCAGTTCTCAAAGTTCCACACTCCCTAGCTGAGACCAGAGGGGGAGTGGAGAAGGGAAGAGGACAATCCCCTTGTTGCTGCTATTGTCACACCAGGCCAGGTGGCTCCCCAGAAGCTGGGGCAGGGGAGGGGAAGACGGGTGGCATTTCCCATTCCCTCAAACACACTCCAGGTCCCACGGGAGGGAAGGGCCTCTTCAAGCCACCCCGCCCCAGCTCACCCAGAGCTATAGGACTTTCAGCTGGATTTTTGTGCTTGTGCCATGTACCACGGAGGAAGGGGGGCCCAAGCCCCTTTCCCCACCTCTGCCCTTTGCTCTTTAAAGTGGGGCATCATATTGGTCCAGGAACTCCCGGATGGGTCCAGGCAGCTGGGTGACTTTCTCGTAAGAGTCCAGGTGGCCATTGACGGTCTTCCGGCAGAGATGCTGCAGCGTTGCGACGTTGGAGGAGAGGGGCCGGCTCAACACCAGGGGGATCTTCTCGCCTCCGGAGTAGATGTAATAGGCTCTCCTGGGGGGGCTCCCTGGAGGCGGCTGCGCAGGTGGCTGCTGCTCCAGCTCCTCGGTGGGTGAGGCGGGTTCGGTCGGTGATGAGGAGAAGGAGGGGGCACCGGGGGGTGGCATGTAGTGGTGCACTAATTTGAGCACGCAGTCGAAGCGAGGCACAGGCTGCGTGCTCCGCGGGTCACTCTGCAACGAGAAGCTGCCACCCTCGCACTGGATGCGCAGGTTCTTTGTCCCGGACTGGGTCTTGACACTCAGCGTGAAGAAGTGGCGCTGGTCCGAACTGTCGCGGATGAGGAAGGTGCCCGCCGGCTCGGCGCTGAGCAGCAGGTTCGCCTCGCCGCCGGTTACGGCACTCCAGTAGAAACCGCTCTCCTGCAACTTGCGCACTGCGTTCACCACCAGCTGGTACTCGCTCTTGGAGCTGAAGGTCTTGAGGCGCAGGCTAGTGTCCAAGGGACGGCTCATCCCGGCGGCGGGAAACTTGCTGTGGGTGACCATGGCGCACGGAGCCAGCGTGGGTCTGAGCGGCGGCGGCTTCAGCTGCTTCGCGGCCCCCGTACAGCGGCCGCTACCGCATCCCTGGGGGCTGCGGGGAGGAAGGCGCGCGCCGCGTGAGTGCCCAGAACCCTCCAGCGCGTCCTGCCCGCCGGTACCCGCGCGGCCCGGGCACTCCGAGCGGCCCGGGGCGCCTCGCGGAGCTCGCCCAGCCTCAGCCCCAGGCAACTCCTTCCCCGAGACTAGAGGAGCACGGCAAGTGGGAAACTCGCGCGCGGAAGCTGGGTCTCCAGGAGTGCGGCCCGAGTGGGGAGCGAGGGGAGCCCCCCCCCCCAGGGCGCTCTGGGCGCCGCTCAGTCCCGCGGCCCAGGGCGGCGAGGATGAAGGGGCAGAGACCCGATATATAGGAGGTAGGGAGGGGACTGGAGAAGCCCGAGAGCTCTGCCTGAGCATTCCGGGAACCTGGGATCTCCGGTTCCCATCCGCTCTCCCCCCTACCTCGTCCCCTCCCTGCCGGGAAGGACCCGGGAAGGGGAGGGGAAACCGGGAAAAGCTCCCAGGACCAAGCGAGGACCCCACCCCTCCCCGCGCCGCGCCACTCTTTCCTACCTGGTCCCGAACCGAAGTCTCCGGCCTCAGGGCTTCGCCTTCTACGGTCCCCAAGGCGAGGCGGCGGCGCGGTAGCCAGCGGTGGCCCGCGCAGCGTCCAGATGTTGGCGGCCGCGAACTCCACAAAGGCGCCTTCTCGTGCGCGTCCCTCGGGCCTCGACGTCCCCGGGGCCGATGGAGTGAGGAGGAGACCAGGGGCCGCGGCAGGAGCCGGGCCGGGCGGGCGCCGTGCGGGGCCGGAGCGGCGGCAGCGCGGGGAGTTGGAGTCAGAGCCGCCGCGGAGGCCGCGCGCTCGGGTATATACGCGGTGCGCCCCGCCCCCCTATTCCTGGAACTGCGCGGCTGGCCTTCTTGTAATGTTTAGTCACTACTCGCAGCAATGAAAGGCTGCGCGCTGAGGGTGAGGGAGGGGCCGCGGGCGGCCGAGGGCGGGCCTCGAGCCCAGGCCGGGACCGGCGGAGACGCGCGCAGAGACAAAGCGCAACGCGAGGCGGCCAGAGCGGCCGGCGGGCGCGGCGCCAGCCCCGGCGGCGCGTTCCTGGCAGCAGCCCCTCCCCCGCGCGCGCTCCGCCCCCAACTTCTCATTCACACTTTCCCCCCACCCCCTCCCTTCTAAGAAGGCTGGTTTCTGGCAGAGGCGGGGGCGCCGCTCCCCGAGCGCCAGTAGTTTCTAGGGGGCGTGCCCGGAGAGTCTCCTGCACCCCTTCCCTTTTTCTCGGGACACCCCCCGGGGCCCCCACCGGACCGACCCGAGGCCCGGAGGCTGGACAGTCCCAGACTAGCAGAGAGGGAACTAAGGCCGTCCCGCAACCAGGCCGCGGGGCTGGGATCAGATCTGGACCTGGACCTGGAGGTGGGCGACGCGCGACGGCCACCTGTGACCACGTCCCGAGATGAGGCCGGGAGTCCCAGGGGTAGAAGGGACACAGTTGTCCAGCCTCGGCCCATCAACCCACTGCCAGGTTGTTTGCTGACTCTGGCATGTGTGCTGACCTCCGCTCTTCACCCACGACCAAATGCTTTCAGGAGCACTCGGGGTCTCCCACCTGGCAGTGTGGGTCAGGTTGGGTTCGGCCAGGCGCTCCCGGTGCGGCGGGTGACAATGAGAGAGCGATGGCCCCAACTGTGTCCACTAGAGGGCGCCCTGGAGTCTCTTAGGAGATCGGAGTTTGGAGCCGCAAATCCCAAACCGTGGAAAGCGAGGAACCAAGCCGAAGCAGCTCGCTCAGGAGAGAGTGGGAGATCACGAAGAGGGCGATTCCCATCCCTGACTGGGTGACACTGGGGGGTGAAAGTCCAGCAGAAAGCGAGGCGGCGGCGTAGTGGCAGTGCCTGTGATTCCAGCCCTCTGGGAGGCTAACGCAGGAGGATCATAAACCCAAGCTCAGCTTAGGATATTTAGTGACTTAAGACCCTATTTCAAAACTGAAATGAAATGAGTTGGGAATGTAACTCAGTACCTGGGTCGTGGATTCAAGCCCACATGCACATAAGTCCAGCACAAGAGAATCTTCTTTTTCTTTTTCTTTTTGTCTGAGACAGGGCCTCACTATGCACTTCAGGCTGGCTTTGAGCTCACTTTGTAGCCCAGGCTGGTCTTAAACTTGCAACCATCCTCTTGCCTCAGCCTCCTGAGTGCTGGGATTACAGGCATGCGCCACCATGCCTAGCTTTTTTCTTTTTTTGAGACAGGGTCTTCACTACATAGTGCAGGCTGGCCCCAAACTCACTATATAACGCAGGCTAGACTCAGACTCCTGGTGACGCTCCTGCTTCAGTCTCCAAGTGCTGCCATTACAGGTATATGCCACTATGTCCGGCAGAAGAGACTTTTCAAAAGCAGTTTTCAATGCTCCAGTCCTGTGCCAGATGAGCCAGCACCCCCCTGCAATGTGCCTACTTTGCTTCTGTGTGGGTATCTGGGCACTCCTGCGAGTGAATGGAGTCCCACCAGTGAAAGGCTGATTTATCCTGTCACACTGGTGCTTATCAAGAGCCAGCCTCCAGGGATGGCAGCTTTTGCCACCTGTCCCCAAACAGCTGCTGGGTGCCAGAGCCCTTCCTGTCCCTTCCAGGGTCTGGCAAAGGGTCCATCATCCTGGCACTCTTCTTTTCCACTGGGCCCCTCCACTCTCTCCCTCAGCTTTTGGGGAATTAACGGAGGTTTGGGTAAGACCCACCGGCTCTCTGGCTTTGACTTTGTCCTCTATCTTGTTTTCGTCTTGTTTGTTGTTGAGACAGGGTCTCCCCGTTGTAGTTCAAGCTGGCCTTGAACTCATTTTGGATGGCCCAGGCTGGCCTGGAACATGCAGTGATTGATTCCCCTGCCTCAGCCTCCCCAAGGGCTGGGATTAATGTCTGCACCACCATAGCCGGCTTGGCTTTGCCATCTACGAAAAGAAATAGCAATAATAATCTTTTCCCATCAGAGATCTGAGATGTAAAGAGGATAGGAAAAGTTCTGTATATCAAAGTATGATAGAAATGAAAGGCCTCCATCTGTTTCTCCCTTATAGCAATAACACGGAGGAATCCTGCTGGGCATGGCAGTGCAAGTTTGTAATCTTAGCAATTTGAGAAGCCAAGGCAGGAAGAACTCAGATTCCAGCCCAGGCTGGAGCTACTTATCGACTTAATGAGCCCCCGCCTCAAAATATAAGAAGGACTGGGGATGTAGTTCAGAGTGAAATCCCGGGGTTCAATCTCCAGTACCAAAAACAAAACAAAACAAAAAACCAGTACCACACACACACACAGGGAGGCTGCTGGCTCTGCAGAAGGAAAATGGATCTATTCAGCACATTTCACAAATCCGGCTCCGCAGAGCCTGCATGGGGAGAGCACAAGCAATTCAGATCTGGTTGTCCTCAAGGCGCTTGCTGGCTCTGGGGTGGAGTCTGCCTGTCTCCCATCAGAGTCCGAGTGTTACTGGGCTGCTGTGCCCCTGGGCTCCCATGCTGAGTCCTGCAGAGGACAGAGAGGACTCTGGGGAATAGCCCTGAGTTAATGGATGGGAAAGTGCTTTGTAAATTATACTGCTCTGATACAAGTCAAGCTCATTCATCCATTCCACATGCACTCACTGAGCGCTCATTGAGCACCAAATGCCTTGATGAGGCAGAGATTGTGATTATGACCCTGGAGGCCGGGGCAGGGGCTGGGGGGCAGTAGACCTGGAACCCAAGGAATCCAAATGTGGTGGGACAGATGCATTCCTTTGACACAGGTAAACTGAAAGCTACAAAAGCAGCATAGGGCCCGTGGGGGCTGTGTTCTGCAGGGGTGGGGGTGGGGGGTGGGCACAAGCAGTTCAGGGTGGGGCTAAGAGGGTATAGGGATTTGTTTTGTTTTGTTGAGACAGGATTTTGCTATACAGTTCAGGCTGGCCTTGAATTTGCAGGGATCTTCTTGCTTCAGCCTTCAAGAGCACTGGGATTACAGGCATACATCACCATGCCCATCAATAGTGGGGATTTGAAGAGAAGAATGCTGTAATCCTAGCACTTGGGAGGCTGAGGCAGGAAGATTCTGAGTTTGAGGCCAGTTTGAGCTACATAGCAAGTTCAAGGCCAGCCTGGCTTATGTAGCAAGACCCTGTCACATACACACACAAACATAAATTAATTCCTTAAATAACGACGCTGAGGGCCTCAAGCATCCTGAGCACGAGAGCTCTGTTCCTGAACTACATGCCCAGCCTCAGCTCTTGCTGTGTCTAGAAAACACTGAGGAGTCTGAGGAGGGTAGAAGAGAGGGACACCAGGTGGGGCCTGGGGTGGGGGGTATATCCTGCTGTGTTTGGAGGAGCCCTGCCTTACAAGAGACACTCCAGATACAGATGGTCTTCAAACATTTGAATCTGTCACCAAGTTTTTCTTTGGTTTCCTAATTTCTCCCGGGGTTCCCTTGCCTTTGAGAGGAAGCCCAAGCGCTCAGGAGAGCTGGCGCCTGGCTCTGGCTCTGGTGACTGTCAGCTTCACAGTGGGGGGACATCTCCCTCCGGAAGAAGCTGGACTTCCAGATGTGCAGGACACAGGTGGTACCCCACCGTCCAGGCCTGCAGTTTTCCTCTCAGATTTGTTGGACACTTACTGGAGACTCCTTGAGTTGCTCTTTCCACACTAAAACGCTAACCAAAATACCGCTGCCCTGCCCTGCCCTGCCCTGCCCTGCCCAGCCCGCTTTCTGTGTTGCTCAGGGCTCCCCATGCACTAGGCAATTGCCCTGTCATCAAGGCCGCCCCAGCCCTATGTATTTAATTTATGGCATTGGGGATTGAACCCAGGGAGTACTGAGCTACATCTGAAACCCTTTTTATCTTATTTTGAGATAGAATCTTCCAAAATTCTCCAGGCTGGCCTTGAACTTTAGATCATCCTGCCTCAGCCTCTCCAGTAGCTGGGATTACAGGCATGTACCATGGTACCTGGTTTCATTTTTATTTTTTAAATTTTATACAGGGCTTCACTAAGTTGCCTGGGCTGGCCTCAAGCTGGGATCCTGCCTCAAACTCCACAGTACAGATTTATTTTCTTTGTAGTCCTAGAGCCTGGGATATAGAAAGAGCTTCGTGAGTCTTTAAGGTGTGCTGTAGGCTTATGTTTTCCATATATATATATATATTTTTTTTTTTTGAGACAGAGTCTCACTATGTAGTTCAGGATGGGCTTCAACTCGCTATGGAGCGAGCCCAGGCTGGCCTTGAGCCCTCAGTAACCCTCCTGCCTCAGCCTTCCAAGTGCTGGAATTACAGGCGTGTGCCACCACGCCCGGTTCCCATCAATTTTTGATATCACTGCTTTCTCCTGGAGTAGCCTCTGGCTTCTCCCTGCAGGGCTGGGGAGCAGCTGCACAGATGGGCTGGAGGGTGTGGGTTCTGGGAAGCCACCACTGGTTTGCTGGAGTTATTGGCCTGCTAATCTAAAGACAAACATGCTGGAAAAGTGGGAGGAGACACTCAGGCCAATTCAGGGCACATTTCCAGGAACCCACTTCCAGGCAGGGACCGGAGCAGAGAGACGCCAGACCCAGGCCAGAGCTAAAGGCCGGCTGCTTCTTTCTCCCCTTATTGGCCAGTGGCTTCATGGGAGAGTGGGTTTCCGGGTTGGGGTCTTCTGTTCTACCCCACTTTCCCATCCAGCGGATTTGGGAGGCTCGGGCCTTTTCCTAATCTCTCCCTTTGCAGAACTTCTATGAAGTCAGAATCCCATTTCCAGGCAAAGGTGCTTGGTCATAAAGATAATCATTCACGACAGAGGGGAAGTACAGAGTGGTTTAGCCTCCACTCACGTGACCGACACTGAGCTCTTCCCCAAACCTCACAGAGGGGAAGGAGCCCTGGCACCAGAGGAATGGCACAGCTCAGTGGGCACTGGGCACGTTTCCTGCAGCTGGCCCTTGGGGAGTACTGAGATGGCCACTGTCACCAGCTCTGCAGCCAGAGGATGCGAAGACCGGCCTCTGACCACAGTACTGCTAGAGGTTAAGTCCAAGGCTTCCTTGTCTTCCAGGTTACCCTGGGCTTTCTAATGTGCAGGAGGTGGCCTGCCACAGGTCACTGTGCTCCAGCTGTGCAAGGGAATCTGCCGCTCCTCGGGGTCACCAGGACTGAGGGCAGCCCTCCTCTCTGGCTCTCTTTCCTGCCTCAGAGAAAACCCGAGGGGTGGGCCAAGGAGGAGGCACGGACAATGGCCTGTGGCCGGGAAGCGGCATTCCAGTTTGTGGGCCTTTGTTCTAGCCGGGAGGGGCCGCAGAGCTAATGAAAAGGTTTGAGGCAGGCGGTAGTGGAAGAGTCCTTTCAAGCCTGACATTCCAGGCCTAGCCGGCCTCTGGCATTTCCCAGAAATCTGCCGAGAAGGGGAGGGGAAAGAAAACACTCTACCCACCCACTCACCCACTGGCTCCTCAGATTCCTGCTGCCCTCTGGGGACTGGCTTGGTAGGAGTGCCAGGACCCTTGGAGGCTGGGGGCGGGCTGATGGAGGTGACTCTGGGTGACCCAAGGAGGGTCTTCCCACCCCAACGCCTGAGAAGCATCCCATCTTTGGTTCAGATTTCCAGTGAGGGAGGGGGATGAGGGTAGTTAGTTTCCAGCAGTTGTCAGTCATCTCTTCTGACCCCTGCAGACCAACAAGCCCTGCTGGATCCTGGGTAGCTCTGCAGTTCTGGGAAGCTGGTCTGTGGCGAGAATCACCTGGGGTCCTATGCAAATGAGTCCTGGCCACACACTGTGGGAAGAGCCCAGCCGGGAGAGAGGGCTGAGGAGGTGCATCGAAGGGTGGGAGATGGGTCACTGGGATGCCCTGGGAGGCCAGGGCCGGTGGAAGCCAGGTGCAGGCAGCAGTCCACTCCTTCTACCAGAAACCACTGAGCTGGCTGGTGGCCTGGGGCTCTCAGCCAGGTGCTGTGCCCCACCCGGGTGTCCCCTGGTCATCTGTCCACCCAGAGCCCAGACCTACCACCTGTCTATCCTCCTGAGTCCCCTAGGCCTCGCTGGCATGTCTTCCATCACCCAGTGATCCTTGAGCAAGTTCACTGGGACAACGATAGACCCTCTCTCTGCTCTCAAGGTGCCAAGCCAGCCTCCTTGGTGAAGTGGGTCAAACGGAACGGGTGAGGGGTCCCTACCAGAGGCAGAGGGGTGGGAGGCTACAGAGTGACCTTTCCACACCCTTGTCCACGCTGTACTCACAGGGCCTCACTTTGCTCCCTTATTTTCTTTTCCTTTTTTGGCTTTTTGAAAAAGGGTCTCCCTGTGTGGCCCAAGCTAGCCTTGAGCTCTCAACAATCCTCCTGCCTCAGCCTCCCAAGCATAGGGCAGGGGACACAGCTCAGTGGCACAGGGCCTGCCTGGCAAGTGTAAGGCCACTGAGTTCAGTTCTTGGCGCACACAAAACATAAAAACACTCCTCCCCCCAAACCAAGTGTGGGAACTATAGGCGGGCATTATAATACTCATGGGCTCAGATTCCTTTTTTCTCTTTTCTATCTCCCTTTCTTTCTTTCTTTCCTTCCTTTTTCTTTTTTCTTTTTGGTACTGATAATCAAACTCAGGACCTCATGCTTGCCAGGTGGGCGCTGTGCCACTGAGCTAAATCCATGGCCCCCTATTTCTTTCTTTTGAGACCAGGTCATGCTAAAATGCTAAACTGCCCAGAGTACACTCAAACTTGTGGTTCTTGTGCCTCAAACTCCCAAAATGCTAGGCTCACAAGTGTGTACCACCTTGCCCAACTGAGTTTAGATTCTTCCCGGAAGATTCTCACACAGATGGCATCTGGATTAACGAATTTGTGCTAGAGGGGAAGTAAAAAGAATTTCAGATGCATTATATAGAGATACCAACTCCTTGTGGTGAATGTAATCAGTATTGCTGCAGATGTGGACTGATAAAAATGAAAATTAAAAAAAGAAAGAATTTGACTATGCTGAACATTCTGAAGTCTCAGAGCTGGGTGTGGCAATGCCTGTCTGTAAGTCTAGTACTGGGCTGAACATGCAGCTCTGTGGTAGAGTGCTTGCCTCGTCTCCACAGGGTCCCAAGTTCAATCCCCAGCACCAAACAACAACAACAACTAGTACTGAGGGAGGCTGAGACAGGAAGATTGCAAGTTTGAATATCTAAAAATAAAAGATAAAAAAAAAGACCACTGAGGGTAGCTGGGTAGTGTATACCTGTAAATCCCAGCACTCAGGAGGCTCAGGCAAGAGGATCAAATTGATTTGGAGGTCAAACCTTGATTACATAATGAGAACCTGGAGAAAGAGAATGAGAGAGAGAGACAGATTAGCAGACTGGGGGTATAATTCAGTACAAAGGGTTTAACCCTCAGTACTGCTAAAAAAGAAAAAAAGCTGGGACACCTGACCTGTTGGAGGGTTCCCTGGGGCAGTGACTGACCAGGGCTGGTGAGAAGCTGGGGACAGAGAGCCCTGACCTGGACCACGGCTCTCAGCCCGCACACGGGACTTTCTCAGGACATAGGCTTCTCTCCCACCGCACTGTCCTTAGCCGCCAGACTGCAGGGCCAGGTGAGAGAAGACCCAGCCAGAGCTGGCCAGGCCAGAGAAGGCCTGCCAGGGACCAGGTGTGCCCATCCCATCTACAAGGCCTGAGCTCCCAGGCTCAGGGCAAAGCAGCAGATAGAGGTGCAGAGCTGAGCAGAGATGAGACGGTGGGCTTTGTCCTGCCCCTGGGAGGTGGATCAGGCATTCCCAGGAGCTTTGTCAACTGAAAATGCTGTTGGCAAGTAAGAAAAATGGCCCTGTGGGGCAATATTAAAAAGACAGGGTCCTGGGAGCCAGCCATTTGCTGTCCTGTTCCCTGTCTTCTTGCAGCACTGTGGCTGAGGATTTAGTAAGTGGTGGCCCCCAGCTGAACCATCCCAAATGCATTGCTTAGCCTCTGCAGATTTTTAAAGGGGGCTGAGGCCAGGTGCAATGCTCACATCTGTGAGGCTGAGGCATGAGGACTGCTGGCTTTGAATCCTGCCTGGGTCCTGTCTCCAAACAAGCTTGGTGCAAAGGGTGCTAAATTGTCCTGGCTGTGTTTGAACTTGTGTTCCTCCTGCCTCAGCCTCCCAAGTAGCTGGAATTACGGGCATGAATCATTGTGACTAGTTTTAAAAGATTTTTGAAATTTTTTTTCTTTTTTTGTCTTTTTCTTTTTTATCGGTACTGGGGATCGAACTCACTACCACACACTTGCAAGGCAGGCGCTTATGCTGCTGAGCTAGATCCCCAGCACCCAGATTTTTGAAAATATTTTATTAATTATTTTTGAACCAGAGTCTTGCTACATAGTTGAGGTTGGCCTTGAACTCACTAGGTAGCCCGAGCTGGCCTCAAAGTTGCAGCAATTTATCCTCACACCCGTGTAAAAAGACTTTTGGGAAATTAAAAATCTGGACATTTTCATGTCCATATCTGAATCTCACGTCTACTCTCTCTTTCTTTCTTTCTGATGCTGGGAATCAAACTCATGATCTCACACTTGCCAGGCAGACAATCATGTCGCTGAGCTATATGCCCACCCCTGAATCCACACTCTCCGTGGACAGGGCAGGTGATTGGGCCCCTCAATGGGCCTTAGGTGAGGCCTGGACTAGGCAGGACTATGGCTCCTCGCCTCCCCTTTCCTTTCTCCATCAGGGCTTTTGGCATTGAGGTTGTAGTTGAACCTGGCTTCCCCCTGGTCTTAGACTAAAGGACAAGACGTTGGTGGACTTACTTTGAGGCCCTTCCTAAATTCCAGGAGACCAGCCAGGCATGGTGACACACTCCTGTAAGCCTCAACACTCAGGAGGCTGAGGCAGGAGGAAGTTGCAATTTCAGACCAGCCTGGGCTGTAAAGTGAATCCAAGACCAGCCTGAGCTGTATAATGAGACCCTATCTCAAAAAGACCAAAAAACAAAACAAAACAAAAAAAGTCCAGGAGACTGCAAGAATCAGTACAGAGCCAGAGGAAAAGATCAGACAGCTGTGGTCACATTTGTCCCTGGCTCCAGCACACTTATCCTGAAGGAGACTCATTGCCAGCCCCAGGACACCACCTCTTTCTCCAGCTTCACAGCAGGGCTAGGCAGGGAGCAGTCAGGGATGGTGGTGCCAGGGTGGCATCTGCAGAGGAGCCCTCGGCACCAGCACGGAGCACCGGAGCTTGGGATTCCCTGGACACACCTGACTGTGGGCTGCTGTGTCTCCCTGCATCCCAGGCTGCTGGATCCCAGGCCTGAAGCTTCTCGCTGGGGTGGCACTGGCAGCTTGCCACACCGCAAGAGGCTGAGATTCCCCTGAAACCGAGAGCTGCATTTATCCTCACACTGACAGAGAAACAAACCAGGATGCTCCGCCCGGGAAGCATTTCCAGAAATTTGGGCTCTGGCTTCGTGTTGATCAAATGCCAGAAAGTCCTGGGCTTCTCTGTGGTCAGGAAGCCATTGAGCAATAGGTGTTTTGTTTTGCTGATGACAAGATTTTCGACATTGAAAAGTTTCAACGGTAAGTAGAAGACCTTGACCAGCTCCTACCCCATGGGAGGCTGCTGATTTGAGCTTCGGGGGTGAGCAGTTTGGGTGCAGCTCTTTGGGGCCAACCACAGCTCCGAAGGACCCAGGCCCCTGGTCCCTGAGACCACTTTCTTCCAGTATTAGGGCCCCCTATGCCTGGCAGTGAACATGCTGGGTTCAAGGGGGTTGCCAGACTGGTTTTGTCAACAATAGAGCTTCTAAGGAAAGCGGCCAGGCTCATTTCTGCTTCTCATGGCTGGTTTCACAGAGTTGAGTAGCTGTCATCGAAACCTTCAGTCTGCAGGGTAAAAATATTTGCTAGAGCAGCTGGGCGTGATGGTGCATGCCTGTAATCCCAGCACTCCAGAGACTGAGGCAGGAGGTTTGCAGTGAGTTTGATGCCATCCTGAGCTCTGATGCGAGTTCAAGACCAGCCTTCACTGCATGGGGAGACTCTGTCCGCAGAATAAAAAAAAAAAAAGTTAAAAGTAATTTTAAAAATTGCTATTTGGCCTTACACGAGAATGAGAATGATATGATACAGGCTGGGGGCCAACTTACATGAGACCCCAGAAAAAGAAAAAGAAAGAAAGGAAGGACCACCGTTATAACTCAGGCAGGTGCTTTAGGCCACTGAGCTAAATCCTCAGCCCTCTGGGGTTACAACTCTGCAGCACAGCGCCTGCCTGGCAAGTGTGAGGTCCTGAGTTTGATTCCTAGCACCAAAAAAAGAAAAGAGAGAGAGAGAGAGAGAGAGAGAGAGAGAGAGAGAGAGAGAGAGAGAGAGAGAAACAAAAAGCATGCTGGTCTCTGCTTGAAGGACACAGAAGTTATCCTGATGCCTGATGCCAGGCAGGGCTAGGGTTGGGACTTAGCATAGGGACAACTGTATCATGGACCCCAGACTGGGAGCCTAATGCAGGCTCCTAAAGGTGGACCTGGGCCTTGAGATTCGCAATCAGGTGGGCACAGGCAGATCAGAAAGGTCCCCATGGAGGCCAAGCCCCAACTCCAGTGGGACAGCACAAATTGATGGCCCTCGCCTCCAGTAAGAGGCCCAGACTGCTGCCCCACTGAGTGGGGAGACTGCCCTGCAGTGTGCGGGGCTATGGAGCTGGCCCCTTCTGGGAGCTCAGAAAGTGCAAGGGTCTGGGCTCTTTTTGTTTCTCTCCCCCCACCTCCTTCCTTCTATTGCAAATGGACCTAGGGGTCCTTTAATACTGAAGTATGTTCCCCAGAAATTTTACTTTTTTGAGACAGGGTCTCACTATGCAATTCAGGCTGGCCCTCTAATCACTTTATAACCCAGGCTAGCCTCGAACTTACAGCAATCCTCCTGCCTCAGCCTCCTGAGTGCTCAGATCACAGAAATGTGCTACAGTGCCTGGTTTAGAGCATTGCCTTCTGGTGGAGATGGAGGGAAAACACACTAAGCCAGCAAGCATGATTAGATTGCAGTCAGTACCAGAAGGAAAATAAACTCCTTTCCTAGGTGGGAAATAAAGTTTCTGGGTCAGGAAGCTGTTTCTAGGGAGGCTGAGGCAGGAAGATCACCACGGGTTTGAGGCCAGCCTGGGTTACAAAGTGAGACCTTGTCTCTAAATAAATAAATAAAATAAAATCAAGTCAAATAAAAGATCTGAAGAGTGAGGCCAGACCTGTGAGCTGAGCACCGAGAGGAGGGGCGGAGGCCCAAGGTAGATTTCAGCCCAGTCTTGGCCTGAAGGTCCCCTTCTCTATCAGCAAGCTGCAGGCCTCTTAGTGCCGCGGGTGAGCCCCAGGACCTGGGGGCCCTCATTTGTAGAGGTGGGGGGTGGGGTGAGCTGCTCAGCCTCTTCCTCACCCTCTATTTACATTTTGTGCAATGCTGAGGATCAAATCCCAGGGCTTTCTACATGCCAGGCAATTACTACACCACTAAGCCACACCTTTAAAAACAGTTTTGTTATTATTTTTTAGTATGGGGAATTGGACCCAGGGTCTTTGCACTCAACTACATCCCCAGCCTTTTTTTTTTTTTCAATTTTTAGACAGTCTTGCTAAATTCCTAAACTGTCCAGGTTGGGCTCAAACTTTCGATCCTCCTACCTCTGCCTTCCACAGTGCTGGGATTACAGGTATGTGTCACAATGCCTGGTTTTTCACCTTTTCTTATATTTTATTTTGAGATAGGGTGTCTTTAAATCAGTTGCAAGACTGGTCTAAATCTTTGGATCTGCCTGCCTCTGCCTCCTGAGTAGCTGGGATTTCAGGTGTGAGATACTGAGCCCAGTGTTGTGTGTGTGTGTGTGTGTGTGTGTGTGTGTGTGTGTGTGTGTATGTGTGCGTGCACACACACACTTGCTCGTTTGCATGCCATTATTAAAACATAACCTAAATTGGACATGGAAGTGCACACCTGTAATCCCAGAACTTGGGGGGTTGAGGCTGGAGGGTCACCATAATCTTGTAGTGAGTTCAAAACCAGTGTGAACTACATGGTGAAACCTTCTCTCAAACAAACAAACAAACAAACAAAACATGACCCCATTTCATCTCCCCTGCTTCCACATCATCTTGGTACCCAGAGAAATATAAATGTCTATTAGTTTAATTTTTTTTTTTTTTTTTTGGTACTGGGAATTGAACTCAGGGCTTTCTTCTTCCTCCTTCCTCCTTCTCCTTCTCCTTTGGTGCTGGGGATCGAACTCATGACCTCACACTTGCCAGGCAGGCGCTTAAGCCACTGAGCTAAATTCCCAGCACCAGAACTTTGTTCTTACCAGGAAAGTGCTTTTGCTACTGAACTAAATCTTCAGCATTTGACATCTCTTAGTTTAAAAGTGCTTGTAACCAAGCCTGGTATGTTGTTAAACACCTCTAATCCCAGTACTCCGGGAGGCTGAGGCAGGAGAATCATAATTTTGAGCCCAGCCTAGGCAACTTAGGGAGATCTTACCTCAAAAGAGAGAGAGAGAGAGAGAGAGAGAGAGAGAGAGAGAGAGAGAGAGAGAGAGAGAAAAGCAAGTCCCCTCAAAATAGGAATCTTATAGCAGGATTCATCAGGTCAATCTGAAAGGAGAGGTCTCAGTAGAGAAAGACAATGCAAACACTGTTTTTCATTCTTTTGTTTTGTTTTGTTTTTTTGAGACAGGGTCTTATCTAGTTCAGACTGGCCTTGAACTCACTAGGTAGCCCAGGCTGACCTTGAATTTGAAGCCATCATCCTGTCTCAGCCTCCCTAGTGCTTGGATTATAGGCATGCTGTCTGCGCTGGTAAGTTCAAGAGCCGCTCCGTCTTCCTCCCTCTCAATTTGCCAGCAACTCTGTGTCTGAATGAGACCCTTGTTCTGAAGCAAGCAACGGGAGGAGCTGTCTTTCTCCGGCACTGGCGTGGAGTGAATCACAGACAGCGAGACACAGGCTCTCAGCGCAGGATTTCCTGGTGCTTCCGGCCTGGGAGAGCAGAGTGCTGTGCAGAGCTGTGGCCCACCATCCCCTGACGTCAACGCTGCTCCCAAAGAATGGGTTTCCTTTTCCGTTTGGGAAGACATTGTGTCTGTCACCAGTGCTATCGCCCCATCTTTCTCCACCTGGCATCTCCTGTTTGGGAAAGAGAGAGGGGGCTACCGAGAAGGTAGTGGGCGGGGCAGGAGGGTGAGCAGGATGAGGAAGATGGGCCTCTGGGACTACAGATGCTGGGTCTCAGGGACCACGGGTGCCTGCTTGTCTGGTGTCCTCCGGATGTGCGGCCAGAGAGCCCGTCAGGAGTGCAGGGTCTGCCCCAGACTGGGAGCCACCATGCAGCTTTGGGAACAGAGACAGGAATGCTCCAGGCAGGCCCCCTCTACCCCCAGGAGGATCACTGGGAGTTCAAGGCCAGCTTGTGCTACATAGTGAGTCCAAAGCCCACCTCAACTACACACGGAGACCTTGTCTCAAAAAGCAAAGCAATCAGTGTGAAGAACTAGGCTTTGTAGTTCATGTGCAGGTGTCTTGACTCCTACTTGTTCTCAACATCTAGCTCAGATGAGATCTCTGACAGAAAGAAAGGTTAGTTGTGGTGGTGCACACCTGTAATCCAAGGACTCAGAAGGCTGAGGCAGGAGGGTTGCTGTGAGTTCAAGCTCAGCCTACACTACATAGTGAGACCCTGTCTCAGACAACAACAACAAAGAAAGAAAGAAAGAAAGAAAGAAAGAAAGCAGGTTCTGTCATCATGTAAGGGTAAGCATTTAAAAGTGTCCATTATTTAAATTATTTAAATAATTATTTAAATATTTAAATTTTAGGTCATTATTTAAATTTGGCCACCTCTAAAATGTATGTCCTGGGATAAACCCAGAGTTACCTTGCTTTGGTTATAGGTCTGCCTGTTTCAGATGAGCCCTAAAGATTAGAGGCTGGTGGTATCACAGGGCCTGGACCATTCCTTGTTTGTTTGACACAAGGCCTCTCTATACAACCCAGGTCAGCTTTATTTTTTTGGTACCAGGAATCAAACTCACAACCTGTGCTTGCCAGGCAGTCTGTGCTGCCGAGCCATATCCCTACCCTACCCCAGGCTGGCTTTACACTTGCAGCAATCCTCCCTGCTTGGCCTCCCCAGTGTTGGGCTGTCTCACTACCCTAGGACTGTTCCTTGTTGTTTGTTCTTAGTGTAAACACTGGCTGATTTAACTTGCCATGCTGTGAGCATCGCTGTCTGTGGTCACCATTTAGTACAGGTTGGAAATTCCTAGTAGGATGTTGGCCCTTCACACAGCAACAAACTGCAGGCAAAAAGAGGCTTTCAGCTCTGCTCAGCACCATCAGGATGCTCCCAGGGGCTGTGCGGTGCGTGCGACAAGGCACCCACTCAGCAGAGGTTCGTTCTGCAGTCCCACAGCCAGCTGCTGTGGAGAACCGGAATACACCACGGATGGTCTCATTTCAGTTACTGGAAGTTAGGAAATTCAATGATTCACTATTTTTAACTAGGAAGAGTTGAATCAAATTTTACCCAGTATTGTTAAAACTATATAAACAATATAAAAATTTTTTTGGTGACAGGATCTCACTATGTAGTTCAGGCTAGCCTTGAGCTCACTGTATAGCCCAGGCTCACCTCAAACTCATGGAGATCTTCCTGCCTCAGCCTCCAAAGTGCTGGGATTACAGGGCGTGTACCACCATCCCTTCCCTGGCTTTATCTTTTATTTTGAGACAGCGTCTTACTGAGTTTCCCAGGTTGGATTTGAATTTGTGATCCTCTTGCCTTAGTCTCCAGAGTGCCAGAACTACAGGAATATGCCATGGTACTAGCTAGTAGCTTCACTTTTATGTGTAATGTCATAAAGCATTCTTCTAGAACATCGTTTTTTGTGGAGGTACAGGCTGCTAATCTGTTGATACGCTATTGTTTATTTAACCAACTCCTGCATGGAGCTGCTTCCACTTTTGATATGAAAAATGCTGACATGAACATTCTTGTGGGAACGCATAATTAATTTCCTTGGGATAATTCGGTGGAAGTGGAATTTGGGATGTTTTCATTGTGACCATATCATTTTAACCTCACGATACCCCTGGGAGGGGTAGGCTATGATTATGTTTTACAGCCTTTCCAATTTCCAGTCCCAGCCTATGTAGGGCAGCCAGGATGCAGAGCAGAGTTCACCTCTCCTGCCCCTCACAATAGCGCAAGCTTTTCCTTTCCCTTTCCTTCCCTCTACTTCCCTCCCCTGCCCTCTCTTCTACTCTCTTTTTTTCCCCAGGGAACCAAGGTCTCCTGCCTGCTAGGTAAGTCCTCTACCACTGAGCTAGATCCCTGGCCCGGTCCTTTTAAAAATGACTTGTAAACTGCATTTTGGCTTACCGGCATGTGTTCCAGAGCAGTGGACACAGAACTGTGCATTCCAATGGGTCAGGGCCAATAGTGTATGGGGCACAAGACGCGTCATTTGTCTCACAGAGATGTGTTGAGGCCGCCCTGTGCCATACGGCTGCAGGTGCTCGGCTGCTAAGGTGAAAAGCGCATCCCCTCCCCCCAAGTCTGGCGAGGACTTTTCACGGATCTGTGCCACTTGCTGGTCTGTGATCACCAAATGACGCGGCCCTGTACAGGTCTAGCACCTTGAGGAGGTTGCACACAACCCATCAACACAACCCATCAAGTCAGGCTTGTGACCATGACGAGCGGGGCACCGGCAATCACCCTCCCTTGGGGCCGCCAAGCCGTGCCTGTGTGTCTCCCAAAGGGAACCTGAGCTCCAGCCAGCTAAAGCTAAGAAGCCCGGCATCGCTCTCCACGCCTGGACTCTCGCGCCTGCGCACTGCAGCTTGTGTCCGTGCTTGTGGACTCAATAAAGTTCGCGCGCGCCGGAAGCGGAAGCGGCGAGTCTCCATGGCGGCGGCGGCGGCGGCGGCGGCGGCAGCAAGGCCAGTGTTTTGGAGGAGGCTGCTGGGCCTCCTGCCTGGCCGGCCCGGGCTGGCTGCACTGCTAGGGCGCTTGTCAGACCGCCTCGGTAGGAACCGGGACCGCCGGCGCAGGAGGTGAGATCGGCGGCTGGGCCGGGAGCGACCCGACCCGCTCCCCGGCGCCCGGGCCTCTCAGTTTTCGCCGCTGCCTGCCAGAGAGAGATGGGCACCCCGGGCCAGGCTAGGGTTCCCTGCGGAGTGCGGCCTGTAGTTGTTTCGCCCCCCACCGCGCTCGGGAGAGAGCTCCGGCCACTGTCGGCTGGTGCTGTGAAAGCGGGACTGGGGGTGTCCATTGGGGGTGACGGCGGAGCTGCTAGGGCTAAAGTGCATTTTCCTGGCCCCAAGGTGTGAGTCCGAGAGAGTCCCGACACAAGACGCACTGTTTGGGTTTGGAGAAGTCTTTTTCCTTAAGTAATCCTGCCGGCGAGGTGACTTGGCGGAGTGAATCAGCGCTGCTCGCCTTGTGTGCCGGCAGCATTTCGCATATCTTGCTGGAGCGGGTTGTGAAGCAATCCTGAGTCAGTAACACTCAAGCATGGGAAGAGGAACCACTCGAAAACCTTTTTTTACATTTTTCAGAGGCCCCGTGTTCTGGAAAAGTACTGAAGTGAGTTATGTAAATGATGAAGTAGGCTTTGAAGCAATTTGTTCAGGCAGTGATCTTTTAAATATTTGCCAAGAACACGCTGACCTAAGAGGCCTTCTGCTATAGCTAATACTCAGGCGGGGAGGCATTTTCTGTGTGCAAGTGTTTTTTTTTTTTTTTACAGAGCCTTGACCCTTACACTTGATTCTTTAGAAAAAATAAAAGCCTTGAAATTGCGTACTTTAGTTGCAGTTGCATTATTTTAGATTTGTTTTTTCTGTGCTGAAAATTGAACCCAGGGCCTCCAGTAGCTAGGCAAGCACTCTGTCACTTAACTATACCCCAGCCCCTGTTTTAGATTTTTTTTTTTTTTTTTGAGTCAGGGTCTTGCTATTAACTCAAACTCGTGGCAGTGCTCCCGCTTAGCCTCCTAAGTACTGGGATGACAGATATGTGCCACTGTGCCCAGTGAACTTGTCTTACATCTTTATATCTGTGATCCTTGGGTGAGATTTGTTCTCCTGTTCTAAAAAGTACAGAGATCTGGAGTTCAGTCATATGCTAGCTGTAGATTATAGAAATGAATTTGTTTATGCTAAGTATCAGTGGAAGATTTTCAGCAAAAATTCCCGTTTGAGTCTTTTTCTTTTTCTGTTGCCAGGGATCAAACTCATGACCTCGTGTTTGCCAAGCAGGCACTTATGCCACTGAGCTAAACCCCCAGCCCCAATTTAATTCAAGGAAACTTTTAGGTAATAGAATCCAAGGCAGGAACTCCTAGAAACCTGTTGGTCAGACTGTTACACATCGGTGAACCCAGTGGGAGTGTAAATGAGACCGAGTCTTCATTTTCTGTAACTGATGCTTATCTAATGACCAGTTCATTCTGGTGGGTAGGGCAGTCAGGTGACGTCTTTGTCCTGGAATCTCACCATTGAGAGATTTGGTTTTCAGTTTCAAAAAATGTACTGCCTTCAAAGATGAGATGTTTAGGCCATTTTGTTATTTTCCTCTTTGTGTTTAACCTATGGAAAACACATCATTAATCATTGTTTAACCTTGGCATTGATTCCTTAAGGATGGTGGGGGCATTCTTCACAAATTATTGTATTCTAAAAATTTGTATCTGTCAGGAGGCCAGCCTGGGTTACACAGTGAGTTCAAGACCATCCTGAAATACATGAGACCCTATCTTAAAAAAATCAAAAAGAAAAAAAGAGTATATGTTTGTAATATATAATAATGGTATTAATCTTAAGGAATTGGTATATATATTGTGTCTTAATCATTTTTTACCTCCCCTCCCATCTCACACCATATCCATCCACAGTTTTTTTTTTTTTTGAGACAGGGTCTCACTGTGTAGTTCAGGCTGGTTTTGAACTCATGGTGATATTTCTGCCTCAGCCTCCTGAGTGCTGGGATTATCGGTGTATAAAACTGCATCCAGCTGAGAGTTCTTTCTTTGAATCAACAGTTCAACAAGAAATTCAGATTCTTATTTATTTAATTCTTTGTGTTTTTGAGGCAGGATCTCACTAGGTAGCCTAGGCTGGCCTTGAATTTGCAGCAGTCCTCCTGCCTCAGCCTCTGAGTCCTGAAATTACAGGCGTGTGCCATTCTCTGGCTCTTTGTGACCTTGGTGTTGGAGTTTTTTGCGTCTGTGGCCACTCACCCTCTGTTGGCTGCTTTCATTTCTTCTCCATTGTTCTGCTGCACCTCCCAATTCCTCATTCCCAGAACGATGTGGTTTCTTGTAACTCTGATCATTGATTCATTGATAGTAGTTCTCTGTAGTCATGAGCCTAAGTTATTTTAGATTTCAGCTCACCAGTCTGACTCAACTCTTGAAGAGGCTGGTGAATCCTTGTGGCTAGCAAGGGGAATGGTTCTTTTACTGCTGTGGTTTCCTTTCAGGCTGAGTGATGGCCATAGAGACCGAGAACTCTACTTAAAATCATTTCTAATTAGTGATCTTGAAATACTGCTGTTTCCTCTTAAGCAAGCATCTGACTCACTGTCATTAGGGAACACTGGATAATTGATTTATTCATGGTGTGTGGAGCACTGCTGTGTCAGGCCCTGGGGAAGTGAAGATAGAGACATAGTCCTGGCTTCAGGATGCTCAGACCCATGAACAGTTACAGGAAATAAAGTAAAGGTGAATGGTGACGCCTAGGAGAGGCACTCGGAGGTTAGGGATGCTTCCCGGTGATGTGACTGAGTTGTTTTGAAGGAGGAGTAGGAGTAGGCAAGGAAGAGAAGAGGCGGAGAGTGCTGAAGAGGGGCAGTGTGCACAGTGGTGGCCGCGAGTTCTAAAACCCCATGTATACTCAGACCACTGCTAGAGCTGATGGTGGAACGAAGTAGAGACAGAGAGTAGCTAGGAGCAAGTCAGCCTTTGGGCCAGAGACCTTGGAAGGAAAGTTCTAGACTGCATATGTGCTTACTTCTTTTCCTTTTCACTTCCTTTTCTTTCTCTCCTCTCCCCCCCCCCCGTCCCTCCTTCCTCCTCCTCCTCCTCTTTTTCCTTTCTTCCTCCTCTTCTGTCTTTTTGAGATAGAGTTTCACTATGCAGTTCAGGCTGGCCTCGAACTTGCAGCAGTCCTCCTGACTCAGCTTCTGGAGTGCTAGAATTACAGACATGCACTAGCAGGCCCGATTCTTTTCTTTTTCCCGACATCTGGAATTGAACTCAGGACCTTGCACTTGCCAGGCAGGCACTGTGCTGCTGAGCTGTATCCTGACTCTTCATTTTTTGATACTGAGTCTTCCCAAGTTGCCCAGGCAGACCTTGAACTCAGGATCTTGTTGCCTCAGCCTCCTGAATTGCTGGGATTATAGGCTCACTCCATTCCTCTGGTCTTCCATGGATGATTTCCTGTTAGTAGTTCAGACCTGAGATGGGGGGGGGTGTCTCTTAGGAAATCTGGGGCAGCTGGGTTCGATGGCACGCACCTGTAATCCTAGTACTCGGGAGGCTGAGGCAAGAAGATTGCTGCAAGTTTGAGACCAGCCTGGGCTACACAGTGAGTTCAAGGTCAGCCTGAGCTATATGTAGTGAAACTCTGCCTCAAAAAAGACCAAAAAAAAAAGTCTGGGGCAGTGGGACTAGAAAAGAGAATTGAACTGCAGGTAGCACTGCTTGAATGGGCAGTGCCAAGGAAGTGGCTCATGCGTCTGCCTCAGTGACTGTGGAAACAGGAAGAAAAAGCCCTGGTTTGGGGGTGACCGTAAAGTCACTGGGGCACAATGATTTGCAGGCAGGTGGCCCCAGGTGGAGGTGGTCAGTGTGCAGTGCAGTGTGGGAGAGCTGAGCTCAGGCTAGGGACACAGGCGTCTAGGAGAGGTTATGTTTGGACTTAATGGCGACACAGAATGAGCTCCTTATTTGGAGTAGATGGAGCCTGCTGGGAAGTGAGTCGAGGACATTGGGTCCTAATTTTGAACTTGCCTGTCATGCAAGGAAATATTTTCTCTGCGGCCTATTTTTTCCCCCTTTTAAACCGTTTCCAGTTTGGAGTGTATGTGCAATAAAATCAGTGTTTTTGAGTCTTAGGCCCATTTTCTCTGTTCTCAGTGTGCAGTTGTGTGTGAATGCATGGGGTGGGGTGGGGCCGTCAGCAGGCAAGAGTTGTCAAGGCCAGGCAGGTGACCAGCAGGTGACTCTCAGACTGTCTCCCACTGCGGTGGCTGGTCGCTTGTTCAGTGCTGAGCAGTTTCTGCTCTGAGGAGCCACCAGATTTCCAAAAATGACTTTTCTTTTACCTTTGTGATGTGGGGCATCTCCCTCATCCCTTGGTTTGTTACAGCAGTAGAGTGAAGAGAGCATTTGGAATCAAACATTAATTTTTCCAAATAATTTAAATTCGTTGTTGCTCAGCTGACTAACTTTCCGGTTGTAGGTTTTTTCCTTTATTTTCATGGCACTGGGGATCGAAATGGCTCCTTCATGGTTTGTGTTTTTTCCAAGTTCTTGCAAAATCCTTAAATTGTCCAGTGTGGGCTTGCGATTATGACCCTCCTGCCTCAGTCTCCCAGAGTGCTGGGATGATAGGCGTGCAGCACCATCCCTGGCTTCTAGGTGTGGCTTTATGAAGTTAACATTAACATGAGTACCTGTGCCCATACTGTGGCTGCTGATGAATTAGGCTCCAGCTGTGGCTGGGCAGATGGAGACAGCCTGGATTAGAGTGCTCAGATAGATAATCGCTGTGGATAGTATGATCCGATTAATGTCAGGGAGTCATTTCAAGGCAGCCAGGAGTCAGGCTGCCTGCAGCTGTTCCAGTAGTAGAACATGTGATTGGTTTGCATCAGATGCTTTTGGCTATCCTGTGTGTATTGTGGATTATAAATATATTAAGTATTTCTTCCCCCCAATCCTACCCCTGTGTGTATGACTTCTGCTTAGCTAAGGCAAGAGGAGAATCATTGGGTCAGCATGCAGCTGACCACCGGCAGCCCTGGCCTCTCTCAGGGCGCTTGCTGGGGGAGTCGGGCCAGCACTGGCCTCTGGTAACCTACGGGAACCCGCATCATTTCCCTGACTGGTTTGGTCTTGCATTAGTCAGGAAGGGCCGCCCGCTGCCTGGGCTGCAGGAAGTACGGGACCTTCGCGTAGTTTCTGAGCCCTTCTCAGGAAGTGTTATGACTGTTGCCCTGCCCTCATCACTTCACTCTACGTTTACGTGTGTGTGACAGCAGGGGGAGGGGTATGCAGGCTGGGTTTTCTGAAAAAGTAGTTTCTGAAAAAGTACGGCAATCCGGGGAACTAGTTTCTTTTAAAGATTTCTTTTTACATCATTTTGTACAGACTTGAATGGGACCCAAACCTCAGTTTGTAGCACGAAATGTACAGTTTCAGCAGTGGACCTTAGGCTGTAGCTCCAAGCCCGCTGTGGAGACAGTTCCTACACCCTGCAGCGATGGGGAGCGAGTCCAGTTCCTCAGTCTGTCATGGGTTTGTGGTAGAGTCTGAAGTCTCCTCCACGCTCTTTGGTCAAAGCCCCAAATATCTTAGTAGGGAAAAAACCCAAGAAGTCTGTCTACAGCTTGTGTCCCATTGTCTATCAGTAAGCACTTTGCTCTGGGGGTGGCAGCCTCTGAAATGGAGGGTATGTGGAGGGGGTGTGTGAGGGTGGCGCAGGGGAGACCAAGGTGAACCTTGGAGTGTGCCTGCCTGCCTGCTCCCTCCCTTCCTTCCAAGGCCTCACATACACAGGCGAGTGTGCTGCTGCTGAGTTTTACCTCAGAGCCCCTCTTCTGTTGGCATCCCTTCACTGAGAACACGGGGCCTCCAGCCTCACTGTTGACATCCAAAGAAGAAATGTGAGGTGTGCCAGTGTGTTCCACAAAATGTTTAGTGAGGCAGGACACTCCTGTCTCCCTCCTAAAGAGACAGAGGCTGCCTTTGCAAAGGTGCATTGCAGCTATGGGGCTGTCCTGAGCTCAGGTCCCATTGCTGTCCCCGGGAAGGGGTCTTGAGGGGATGTATTGTCATGTCTGGACTTCACTGTCCTGCTGGATGACTGCCTTAACCCCAGAGGTCAGGAGTGAGATGCGGGTCTTCTTTTATATTTTTCTTTGCCACTGAGCAGACATTTTATTTTTCATGTGTAGACCGAGTCTCATTAAGAACCTAAGTTGTCCAGGCTGGGCCTCAATTTGTAGTTCTGCCTCAGCCTCCAAGAGTGTTGGGGTTACAAGAATGTGTTGTGAGCCCTCCTTGAGATGGCAGGATGATGCTTTGCTCTCGGTGCAGTGCCCCCCTCCCTTCGGACTCTGTGTCTGCCTGCCCAGCCGCCCCCACTGGTTGGCGCAGTGGGCCCGAAGGTCCCTGCGCAGTCCATTCAGGGAATCTGCAACATGCATAGAAAGCCTTGAGTCACGTGACTGAAGCTTCACCCAGAGCCAGGCGTCCTGATCCCCGGAGGATGCTCACCCTGTCTTGCCTGTAGCATTGCTTTGTATTGTTGGTGGTGAGGTTCACAGGATGGAGCAGTGTGCTCCCTGTCTCGGCACCCTGGGGGCCACCTCCTCTAGCTCCGGGTTTTGCCTTCTCCTTCCCCAATTCCAGAGCCAAGGAGTGGGCCTTGGAGAGGTGGGGCTGGCAGCGCCTGGTTATCTGGTCCCTCCCCCCCACTTCCTCTTTCTTATAACTGGAAATGGGTGCTAGATGGTATCTAGAAAGAGATGACTTGGGGAGCCAGTCTAGATGTGGAAATTGTGTGTGTGCTCTGCTACTTCTCTAAATGATGAGTGTGATGTGGAACTCCGCTCTTTTTGGTAACCACGGCTGCTGCCTCTTCAGATCCCTGGGGGCTTAGGTTTTTGGTAGGACATGTGGTTTCTTCAGAAACCTCCTGGGAGGGGCGGTGCTTGTGCAGGTGGCCAGCCCCTGGAGACAGAATTACTGTGAGCAGGGCTGCTGTGAGTGTGGAGTCCACCTTTTCCGAGAAAATTCCCAGGAGTCCTCAGTGGAATGCGGGGAACTGCCCCTGGGTACTGGCACCTGGGCAAGCCTGGGAGCAGCCTGCCTGCCTGTGGTCTGGCTCCTCCACGTGGCTGTCCCCTCATGCCTGGTACGAGACAGACACCTGCCACCTTTCAGGGTGGCACTGTCTTCGGGAGTATAAAATGGGCACTTGGAGGTTGGGCCTCCTGAGGTACCGTGAATTGATGAAACCTGACTACCTCCAGGTCCTTCTCCTCTCTATCAAAAATAAACCTACCAGTACGCAGATTAAACAGGAAGCCAACACAAAAGTGCCTTCAGCAACTCTTGGACCAGGGCTGTGTGAGCCCTTCCCAGGGAGGGCTGCCTGGCCCAGGAGAGACCTCACTGAGACAGGTAGCCAGGCTGGGCTCTTGGGCCTGGCGACCCATCCTGCTGGGTGGCTGCTAACACCTGTGTGGACTCTTGCAAAGGTGTCTGCTCTGGAGTAGCCTCGGAGGCCTGCCTGGAAGTTGTGTTGAGCGTGCGTCTGCTCACGGTCCTCTTTGCCGAGCTCCCACTCCTCCAGGTTCCCTTTGAACCCTACAATCAACCAGGTTTTCAGAGCCTGTTGAAGGTAGGGTGCTGTGAAGCCGCCCAGGGCCAGGTGTCTCCTACTCCCCTTTGAGTGACTTGAAGCGCAGTCCTTCTGTTTTGACATTTAATTTTAGCCCTTATGCCAGGTGTGTAAGTCGGTGAGGTGACCGTGGCTGGGAGGTGGGACTGCCTGGCTGCTGGTGTGCATTGCCATGGTCCATGGTGGGTCTTCACAGTCAGGCTTGAATTAGCCTCCTTCTTGATGACATTTGTCCTCGTCTGGTTGCATTGTGCGGGGAGTGTTTCCTTTCCTCATTTTCCTCTTTGGGAGCTGGTTTATAGCTCTCGGCCTGTGTGGAGACGGTGTGAGGCCTGACCTCGGGGTGCAGGGGGCACATGTACCGCCCTGCTCTTTCCCAGGTGGTCTGGAAGGCAGGAGAAGCCCTCCGAGGCATTGGCTGCTGGGGGGCCATGCTTCATCCTGAGTGTTAGGCGCCAGGCTGCACGGGGGCTTCAGACTGATCAGCAGCAGTGTAGATTTCTCCATTGCCTTGCGGTTTCTTCCGGACCAAGGGTCATTTTCCTTTCCTCTTAGGCCCGTCAAGTTTGTAGCTCATTTTTGGGGAAGTCAAGGCGACAGTTCCTTGCTCACATTCCTGGATGGGTGAGTGGATACCCTTGAGTGTCCTCGCCCACCTAGAGAGGGCCAGGGGAGGATAGGGAATTATGCTTTCCCACCTCCGTGCGGGTGGCCGAGGCCTGCTCCGTCCAGTCTTCCCATGACCAGAGAGCAGGCACCTTCTGCCATTGACTAAGGTTTTCTTGGCAGTGAGTTGGTCTTGAAAGGCTGGTGGGCTTTCTGGAAAGCACAGCTGTGGGCGTCTGGCATCTGCAGGGCCATTTAGGAGCCCTGGGAAGTCTCAGCACTTTCTCATGAAGCGAGCGGTGAAATCATCTTCCTGGAATTTGTGGTCATTCATGCTTAGGCCGATGCAGCACCCCCTCTGTGAAGTCCTCAAGAGTCACACCTGAGGAAGGTCTTCCTGTTGCTGTTTGCCAGACCAGAGTTGAAAGTAGGGTGGGTTTCAAGGGGGCTCTGGGTACCTGGGGTGCAGAGATGTTGTTCCAGGCGCAGTGCTGCAGTCCTCTAATCTCACTTCAGAAGAGTGTGTGATCACTGCTGGCCAGAGGCAATGCGACCCCCATGGTGCCCCAGGAGGCTGCTGGCCAAGGGGCCCTTCACCACCGCCAGCATCTCACGAGATAGATGGTGCCTCTTAGCAGCCTGCTCAGATCTGTGTGTGAGTGTGTGTGTGTGTGTGTGTGTGTGTGTGTGTATGTGTGTGTGTGTGGTGTGGTGTGTAGTGGAGCTTGAGCCCAGGCCCTTGTAGTTAGCCACATCCCCAACGCTTTTTATTGCTTTATTTGGAGACAGGGTTTCATAAGCCACTGAGTTGCTGAGGCTGAGCTTGGATCTATGCTCCTCCTGCCTCAGCCTTCCAGAATGCTGGGACTATAGACATGTGCTACCACACCTAGCCAGATCTCACTGGTTTGGTTTGGTTTTGTTTGAGACAGGTTCTCCCTATGTAGCCCAGTCTGGCCTAAACTCATAGCCATCTTCCTGCCTCAGCCTCCCAAGTGCTGGGATTAGAGAAATGCATCACCATGCTCTGCTAGATCTGAGTTTTAAAAGGGAATGTTTTTCCATTTTTTTCCTTGAAAAGAAGCCATATTTGTCTCATGAGTTGTATGGCTGGTGGGCAGGGCAGTCTGTGCAATAGTTTTTAGACTTCTACCAGACCTCCCCTTCTAGGTATCTGTAGGTGAATTTTTGTAGGTGGGTTTGTTAGGCGGTAGTAGTAAGCAGAGGGTTGCTTTTGTGAGGTAGCTTGTAGTTACTGTAAGATTGGTTCCTGAGTTATTTGGAATTAGCTTACAGTTTGGTATTTCTGCGTTAGTGTGGGTACTTGTAAATTGTTCAGCAGTAGGCTCTTTAAGGAGTTAGGAGAGAGGGCCAAAGGGAAAACGCTCTACTGAGCTTGGCTTGGGCTCCCTCCCACCCTCCCTGCTCGATTCTGGGGGTGCACCCCAGGTTTTCCACAGCTGCCCTGTCTCCCCTATACCCCCTATTTGAGACAGGGTTTTGCTTTGTAGTTCAGATTGGCCTTGAACTCTCAGCAGTCCTTCTGCCTCAGCCTCTCCAGTACTGGGATTATAGGCATGCGCCGTCATGCTTGGCTCACTTTGTAAACTAGTGTAGGAAATATGAAATTGGCCAGAAGGAAAGCTCTTCTCCCCAGCACCAGAGAGAGGCATCTGCAGGGGTACTGAAGAGGTACTGAACCATTTGTGTGTTTCTTTAACTAGGTCACCATGGCTGTTACTGGCTCCCCTGCTGTCCCCAGCGGTCCCCCAGGTCACCTCCCCACCTTGCTGCCTCTGTCCAGAGGGCGTGCACAGGTTCCAGTGGATCAGAAATCTGGTTCCGGAGTTCGGTGTCTCCAGCTCTCACGTCAGAGTGCTCTCCTCCCCGGTGGAGTTCTTTGAGCTCATGAAGGTAAGGCACAGTGCACACTCAGGACAGCAGCTGGAGCTGGGAGCTGGGGGTGGTGCCCTTAGTTCCAGCACTCTGGGAGGCTGAGGCCGGAGTACCCAACGTAGCCCAGCCTAGGCACTTAGTGACTGAAACTGTATCTCAAAATAAATAAAAAAGACCAGGGCTGGGCATGGTAGCATATCCCAGCAACCTCAACACTGAGGCAGGATGATCACTGAGGGTTTGAGGGCAGCCTGAACTGCATCAAGAGACCATGTCTCCAAAAAAATAAAAAAGTTAGTAAAAAGATCTCGGAAAGCAGGTCAGCGTGAAGGCCCCAGGTTCAAGGCTGCTAGCAGGCACGTGTGCGCATGCACAAGCACAGGAAGTCAGAGTTGGAGGTTTGGGGATGCGGTGGGTAAATCCTGAGTGTCCTCCATTTGAGGGTTTTGGGTGCTGTGCACCTCTGCCTTTTGGGTTCTGCCTGTCGGATGTCGGCTCCACGCGTGATTGAGTTGAGCCACAGCAGCAGCCTCCCTGCCTTGTGCTGCAGGCTTGAGGCAGTTAGCCAGCGCTCTGCTAGAGGTGAGAGAGAAAGCCGCTGCCCGGTGCCATCTGGGTGGCCCTGAGGTGCGCCTGGCACCCAGCACCCATCCCCCATTCAGGGGAGAGGCATCTCAGTGAGGCTGAGAACTTGACCACCGTGGTCTCGGGGCTCATAGTCCTGGTTTTCTAGGGCTCTGTCAAGGGAGTGCGCCACCCTTTTCCTTCAGCAGTGAGTTCCCTTCGTGTTTGGGGGTTCAGCTTTCCACATGTGACTTGCGTTTGCACACTGAGTCTAGTTGTTTGTGGCTGAGTGCTAATTGGAATGAAGCCTTTCAACACTTGCTAATCTGGAGCAACTCGAACTCCCTTCCTTCATGGTGGCAGGGAAGCCAGAGCGAAGATCCGATGAGCAGCCGGGCAGGTACTGGGAGATTCCAGAGGAGGTGGTGGGGATGTGCCCTGTGCGAGGAGCACTGTTGAATGCCTCCCTGCCTTTTCTCCATTTGCCATCTTGTGTTGCTCGACATTTAGGGATTCTGTGTGTGTGCATGTGTGTGTGTATATGTGTGCATGCCTGTGTGTGTGCACGCGCATGCATGCTGCCTGTCACCTTTTCCTCCCCCTCACTCGCTGCCTGCCCCACTTGTCTGTCCTGAGTGTCCTTATTGGTGAGGACAGTGCCCCACCCTGCTCTTCGCGCCTACATGGCTCTGTCTGGTGTGGAGAGAGGTTTTTCCAGGCCGGTTCTTGCCGGTGTCCTAATGGACCCTCGGTGAGTCACTGACTGTCTTCACGTGACCCTCAGCCAGGAGCCAGGCCTCATGGAGGGCCTGCATGGGTTGGGTGGATCTGTGCAGAGGCAGGAAGGGGCCGAGGGGCTTGTGGGGGAGGTGGAGAAGCTGAGGCCTTTAGTGTCCCGGGACTACATCATGACCAGATTCTTCGAGGTCCCATCACGCAGAGAGGTGTGTTTCTTCCTCGGACGGACGGCGGCCCGTGACCTGTGGGATAGAAGGCAGTGCTGGTTTCTTTCTTTCTTTCTTTTTCTCTTGATTTTCTTTCTTTTTTTTGGTACCTGGAATCGAACTCACAACTGTGTGCTTGCCAGGCAGATGCTTACGTGCTGAGCTAAATCCCTGGCCCCCTGTTTTTTGAGGCAGGGTTTTGCTGTGTGATTCAGGCTGGACTCAAACTCGATTGCATCCTTGAGTCACCATGCCGGTGTGGTTCTTCCTGGCCCCAAACCCTCCTTACAGCTGGGGTTGTCTGTGGGACCTGGTGTCATGCCGTGAGCAGTTAGATAAGCTGTGTTTGCCTGAGCTGAACCAACTCGGACCTGACTGGCTGCTTGTTTATCCACGATTGTCCCTGTGAGCTAAGTTAGTAGCTGGCTGGCTGGCTTTCTTTCCTCCTTTCATTCTCTCTGAGACAGGGTCTCACTGTGTAGTTAAGGCTGGTGATCCTCCTGCCTCAGCCTCCCAAGTGCTGGGATTATAGACATATATCATACCTGGCTAAGTCCGCCAGGCATTATTAGTAGGTAATAAGCAAAGAGAATAGCAGCCTGGGTGTTTTATTTTCTCTGTGTACCTCAGGCCTCTCTGGTGTTATGTTCATGCATCCCGTGTGATGATGTGGCTTAGGCATGACATCCTGGCTTCCTTTGCGGGGGCAGGGCAGTACTTGGATTGAACCTAGGATTTTGTACATGCTAGGTGACTGCTCTGTCATTGAGTTGTATCCCCTGTTCTTCTCATAAATTTTAGTTAGTTTTTTATTTTGTAATGCATTTGAATTTTGAGACAGGGTCTAGCTAAGGTGCTTAGGTGACTTGAACTTGTCCCTCTGCCTTAGTAACACCTGTTACCATCCCTTCTAGATGAAGAAGTATCATGAGTCCTGTGTTCTTCCCTCTTTCTCACCTCACTCTGTAGTGGTTTTGTTTTGTTTTGTTTTGTTTTCAGTACTAGGAATTGAACTCATGACCTTGTGCTTGCCAGGCAGGCTTTTGTGCCATTGAGCTGCATCCCCAACTCCTGTCACCTCATTCTAGATCCTTTGGCATTGACCTCTGGCAGCATTGTTCTTTCTGCCCTTGCTACACCTACGAGGTGGAGCAGCTCGGAGCTTTGAGGATGGGCTCTGCTGTCGTCCTGGGGGGCCAGTCTGGGGAGAGGGTGCTGGTTGTTGGCATGGCACTGTGCTGCATAGCTTTCGGGTGTGGCTGTGCTCTGTGTGTCTGCACCTATCTGCATACATTGCAAAAATGGCACCTGCTTGTTAAAAGCAGCTCAGCCACACAGGCGGGTGGACAGGGTGCAGACTGCAGCTGGGCTCCCCTTTCTGCCTGCTGTGCTCCTTGGGGACCCCTCAGCAGTGTGGTGAGGGTTCTTTGTGCTCCTGCGGACACTCATGTTCATGGGCATGAGCTCAGCCCTGTGCACGGGGCATGAGTGGGAACAGGTGGGCACCGTTTGCTGTCTGTTCTGTGGTTTGCTTTTGTCTTCCCAAAGTACCATGGGAACATTCGTGTCAGTGTGTTCAGATCATCTGTCTTTTAAGTAGGTGCCTCTCATCTTGGAGGAGGGCTGCAGTGTGTCTTACTTTCAGGGCTGAGTACTTAAAATCAGGATTGTGAGTCTTCATGTAGTAAGTTTTTTTTTTTTTTTGGAAACAAGGCCTTGCTACACAGTTCAGGCTAATCTTTTTTTTTTTTTTTTGTCTTTTTCACTTTTATTGGTACCGGGGATCGAACTCACGACCGCCTGCTTGCAAGGCAGGTGCTTATGCCGCTGAGCTAAATCCCCAGCCTCCAGTTCAGGCTAATCTTGAAGTCACTATATAGCCCAGATTGGCTTCAAATTCACAGCAGTCCTTCTGCCTCAGCCCTTTGAGTGGTGGCATTACAGGAATGTGCCCCCACACCTAGCACCATGTACATTTTATTTTAGGCTTTACTTTAAAAAAATTTTTTTTGGTACCAGGATCAAACTTACGACCTTGCACTTATCAGACAGGTGTTTATGCCGCTGAGCTAAATCCCCAGCCTGCTTCACTTAAATTTTAACTGGTGAAGACCTAGGCTAGTTCAGCTTCGAGTATAATTTGTCTCCAAGGTTGAAGGATCGTGATTTGTCAATGAATTATAAATATGGCAAATGAAATTCTGGTTGTTTCTCCTCTTTCAGGGGCAGATAAAAGTAGCCAAGAGGCGGGTCGTGATGGCGTCTCTCTACCTGGGCGTAGGACCTTTGGAACAGGAGCTGGTGAGTTCCGTGCGGAGCAGACTGTCTGTGAAGCATGGCTGCTGTGCAGTGCTCTGGGCTTTGTGTTCTGTGCTAGTGACTGAACCTCGGCCCTTCTCCCTGAGCTATGACTTCAGCCTGTTTTATGTTTGGAGGCAGGGTCTGGGGATGTTGCCCAGGAGGGCTTGCATTAGCAGTCCTGCCTCAGCCTCCCAGAGTGCTAGACTGAGGAGCGTGTGCCACTGCACTCTTTGGGGTGGTTTTGGATATTCATTGGTGAAGACAGGGTAGTTGGGTGAGGGTGAACTGCTGCGTGCTCTTCCTCTCTGTGGCCTCTGTCCCACAGCCAGCTCTTGTTTGTGTGGCCTAGCTTCGGGGGCTGTCAGGAGGGGGAGAGGAGGTTCATCAGGTGCCAGCCAGCGTCTGGGTTACTGTTCTCTCACTGCTGAGACAAAACCCAACACCCCAAATTAAGGAAGGAGAAGTTTATTTAACTCACAGTTCGTAGAGGTTCAGTCTGTAATCCGCTGGCTCCAGGACAGGGTAGTGTAGCTGAGGGGCCACATGGTGACTGCGGCAGATGCCAGATGTGCCGAGAGCAAAGAGCAAAAGGGAAGGGCACGCTTCTGTCCCTCCCTGGTACTGTGTGCTGGCTGTGCCCCTGGGCAGGTGCAGCACTCACACTGCTGGACAGTGAACCGTCACAAACACTAGACTCAGCCACTCTGTGCTTGCATGAGGCTTGGAGGGGACACCCAGACACAAGCCATAGCACCAGTGTCGGCCTCACCCTTTACAGGGCTCTTGGGGCTGCTTTGTCTGCCAGGTGAGTAAGACTTGGCGGATGGTGGCCCTCAGACGCAGTCTGGCCTGCTGCCTGCTTGGCTGGTTTGTTTTGTGACAGGGTCTTGCTGTGTAGCCTTAGCCTTCCAAGTACCAGGGCTATAGGTGTGTGCCACCGTGCCTGGCTCACACTGACTACTTCTATGTGGCTTACAGTGACTTACATGTCTTCAGATGATTGGGAGGAAACAAGGAAAAGAAAAAAATGGAAACAAAACTTTCCTAAGTCAGTAGGGGAAAGGAGTTGAATGGAGGGGAGAAGGCTGGGGAAAAAAGAGGCATGATAGAGTGTGTACAGGTACAAACTCCCTGTGATAAAAGTTATTATATATAAGTAAAGTGTACCAATCAGAGAAAAAGTTCTTAGAAAAGACTGTTCTGTGATTCATGTGATGTGGGAGACAATTTGAGCGAGTGCCTTGAATACAGAACTACTGCTGCACCTGGAGTCTCACTTCCACATGCCGATATGTAGAGTGGGCCGTGCTGTGGCCGCCCTCTTCAGTTGGCTCTAAGCCATGCCCGTGAGGCAGCTGAAGTACAGATGTGTAATCTGTGGGGACAATCTGAGCGGCTCCTGTTTCCTCCTGTAGTGCTCTCTGTAAAGGAACCGGGCGAGCGCGGTGGGGTGGCCGAGCAGTCAGCTCCGGGAATGGCAGCTCGGTGTGAGCCTCGCAATAAAGAGGCTGTGAGTCAAAAAAAAAAAAGAGGGTACTAGTCCCGGGCATAAAAGTTTACATATCAGAAACGGAAGCAACAGACTCCAGAAACAATTTGATTGCTACCCATTGAGTTACGCAAACTGGTCCTTCTACGGTCATTCTCCCGCATTTTGCAGAGTTGCTTTTCTCCCCACCTGGCTGGCCAGCTCAGATTACACATGTAGTTCCCGCCATCCTTCCTGTCACTCATTCTAGAGCCACCCCCTTCTAGACTAGCTAATAAATTCTGGAGAGGCCTTGGATCAGGGCCTTTGTCCATATGCCCCTCCTTTGGATGGGACTTAGCACCCCTTGGCTGCCCTAACTTGGAATTTGTCTTGGTTTACTCTCACCAAGGGTTGCATTGGAGGTGGTAGATTGGAAGTAACTTGCCAGGATTCCAGTAATGTTTCAGTGGGATTACAAATAGAACTTTTTGGATTGTGAGGAGGACTAGAAAAGGGATTACAATACTTTAATTGCAGTATTCATCATTTGGGTTACATAACATAAAGTGTACAGAATTTGTATACCTGTGTCCATCAGGAAAGTTTTGCTGGAGCACAGCCTCACTCTGCGTCATGCATTGTCCCTGGCTGCTTTCAGGAGACAGCAATGCAGGAGAATGAGGCTGTTGGACCCACAAAGCCTGAAACGTCCATGCCATAGCCCTTTGCAGCAAAAAGTTTCTAACCCTGTACCAGACCAATGAGCCCAAGTGTAGGTTGAGCTGGCTGTCCGGATGAGTTTGCCAAGGCTGGTGCTGGGTGCCAGGCCCGGGCTAGTCTTGTCCTACTGGGACTTGCTGGTTTGCCACACTTGTCATGGTGAGGCAGGGCAGGGCGTGGAGGGGCTGAAGTCGCCAGGTTGCTGTACTAGCGCTAGTCCAGGGGCTCTAGCCCAGGCTCTGCTGTCCCAGCAACATATGGAGTGAAGTGGGTTTGGACGTCACCTCATCCCTTCTCTAGGCCGGCCTTCTAGGGAAGGGAGGAAGGTGGCTGCTGTGCTTTAAGTGTTGTTCGTTGGCTTGTTGGTGTTCAGAACTCAGGCAGGAGCTGGGAAGTAATAGAGGGCTGGTGGTGTGGAGATGCAGGAAAGGCTGCTCAGCCTAAGTGCGGCCTCTTCCCTGCCCCTGCAGAAGGTGGCCTCCCCGTGTTTCTAGGGCATGCTCCTAGCTGCTCGCTTGTGCTCATGGGAGAGGAGTTTAACACAGCCCATGGAGCAGGGCCAGAACGTGGGTTGCGTCTTGGATTTCTTTACCAGTCAGTATTTGCCGAGTGTTCTCCCTGAATGAGGCACTATTTGTTGTGTATCTGTGAGAATTATCCATTTATTGACATGCGTGTGGGAGTTGGTATCTTAGAGAAGGTTTCCGAGAGTGTGGCAAGGCCCAGGTTGCCTTCTCAGGTGCAGGCTTTGGAGGTACCTGTGGCGGTCTCTTCCTTGTTCCTGGGCCATCTCTTGGAGAGCTTTTTTTTTTTTTTTTTTTTGGTGCCAGATACTGAACTCACGACCTCATGCTTGCCAGACAGGTGTTTATGCCACTGAGCTAAATCCCCATCTCCCCACTCCCCCCCCCCTTTTTTTTTGAGACAAAGTCTTACTATGCAGTACAGGCTGGCCTTGAGCTTATTTTGTAGCCCAGGCTGGTCTCAAACTTGCAACCATCTTCCTACCTCAGCCTCCCAAATGCTGGGATTACAGGCGTGAGCCACCACCTCTGGCTTCTTGCAGAACTGTATAGTATCTGTTTTTGAGTGCTAATGTATATGCCTATATAGATGTTCAAGAGAGGACAGTGAGGATGTTAGCTGGTGAGTTAGTCTTTTTAAACATGTACCTATCTTTCTAACCTTACTTCTGTTCCTTCGTGCTCTTTTCCTGATAGGTGGATTGTCTGGAGAGCACTCTAGAAAAGTCATTACAAGCAAAATTTCCTTCTGACCTTAAGGTCTCCATTCTCCTGGACTTCACCAGGGGCTCAAGAGGTAGGTGTTCTGCATGCCTGGCCCCTTCCTCTTCCTTGTACAGACCCTCAGTGTCACACTGTCACTCCAGGCCAGGCGCAGGACTGCCTGCTGGCATGGACACCTCTGGTGACTGGGGCCCACATCCCCAGCGTACCTTGTCCATCCTTCCCAGTGTCCCTGAGGAGAGTCTGCTTCCCTGGGAGCCAGGCCAAAGGCTGCCAGGAACTAAAGGTCCAGCTTCGAATTAATTATTGTCAGGGCTTGGAGTCCCTGAGCAGCTCCCCTCAAGGCCTGCATGTTCCATGAGCTGGGGCTGACAGTGAGTCAACCCTCACCCGGAGCAGAAGGAGGTAGTGTGGTGCCCTGAGGAGAAAATCGGGGAGGGAGAAGGAGTGGGTTCTGGGTAAAAAAAAAAGCAGATGTCTGCTCCCCTGGCACTCAAGACCTGCCCCGAGATGTGCCAGGTAGGTGCTCATGGGGCCTCTGGCTGCAGCAGTGCTGGTTGGTGTGCGGATCCAGACACAGCCCAGAGAGAGTGAGCCCCACTGGGAGGCGGTTCCTCCCACGGGCAGTGCACCTTCCTGGTGCAGTCTTCGACCACCTGCTCTTTCCCATTCAGGCAGAAAGAACTCTCGCACGATGCTGCTACCACTCCTGCAGAGGTTTCCGGAGCAGGTCCGCGTCTCCCTCTTTCACACTCCAAATCTCCGCGGGCTTCTGCGACTTCTCATTCCTGAGCGCTTCAATGAGACCATCGGCCTTCAGCACATCAAAGTGTACCTCTTTGACAACAATGTTATCCTGAGCGGGTGAGTTTGTATCCTGTGTGCTGTCTGGGTGGAGTCCACACCAGGGAGAAGTGACAGCCAGTCCTAAGGGCCTTGCCAGGCTGCTGAGTGCTGGTAGTGGGTGCTTGACCTCCTCCATGGTGCCCTCTGTGCTGGGAGCCGGAGCCTGTGAAGGCTGATGGGAGGCCAGCTGTGTTGTTTGAGCCCTTCCTGCTGGTAGCTGCTGTGTTAAGCCTGTGTCTGACTCAGCTCTCATAGTGAGTGTCTGCGTGTTTTCCTCACTGTGTGTATGTATGTATACACATAGTTATTTGTTATTTTAATTTTTTGGTACCGAGAATTGAACTCACGCTTGCCAGGCAGGTGCTGTGCCATGAGCTGCTTCCTTGACCCCTTTTCCTCACTTTGTACATGGACAAACAGAGCATGAATAACATTTAGGCAAGAGTCCAAAACCAGAAACAGCCAGGGTGGAAGAAGGCCAGGTCCTTTGACTTGAACAGGGGCTCCTAGAGGCCCCCTCCACCTGAGAGCCAGCTCTGTGGTCAGTGCCTGTCCAGGCTGAGGGTTGCAGTCTGTATTTTGTGGCCCTTACAGCTAGCTTGCCTAGTTTCCTACACGTGAATGTTGCTCAGTAACCGCCCTTACCTGAGTTTGTCGCTCTTCTCCTCACCCCGAGGCCTAGGACACCAGGCCACGCCAGTATTCACTCCTGCCTGAGTCCTCACCCACTTCTTCCTCTCTGTAGTGCAAACCTGAGCGACTCCTACTTCACCAACCGCCAGGACCGCTACGTGTTCTTGCAGGACTGTGCTGAGATTGCTGACTTCTTTACAGAGCTGGTGGATGCAGTGGGGGATGTGTCCCTGCAGCTGCAAGGGGATGACACTGTGCAGGTGGTGGACGGGATGGTGCACCCTTACAAAGGTAGGGCCTGGCTCCGACGCCCACTTGGATTGAGGGAGGAAGGCTGTAGAGCACACCTTGGGAGGCCATGCCCCAGGTGCAGGAGAGAGGGAGCAGGGCTTCTCCTGCTTTTGATTCTGAAGCCAGAACATTGAGACCCATTGGCCGTCAGCCACACTGTGTATGCAGGGTCTGGCTGGGGACAGCCGGGCACTTGAACCAGGAGCCTGCCTGGTTCTTACAGGAAGCAGCCTACCTAGTGACTGCCATCCGCATCCTGTTCCCCAAACCTCCTATCACAAAGACCTTGTGGTTCTCAGCTCTGCTGAGGCCTGTGGCCTCCTGCCTGGAAAGTGAAATAGGAGCGTGCTTAGCTCTGCTTGCTGGAGACAGGCCAGTCCTGGCACAGCATTCCTGGGCATTTGCATTCCTGTGACTCCTGTGGCTGTGGCTTCCATGGCCCTTCAAGGGCTTGCTGCTCTGTCACAACTTGGGCATAGGGTTAAATCTGGACCTCATAAGAAGGGCACCCTATTTCCACTTGGCATGGGAGCATCTAGTGGATCTCCTGGTAGAGGAGCTGTCCAGTGCCAGGGAGCTGCAGCTGTCCAACCCAGCTGCCAGTGCCAGTGGGATGCTCAGGTATTGCCATTGTCCCTCCCCCGCCCTGCCCCTAGTATGAGGGTTGAACCCAGGAACACTCTACCACTGAGCTACATCGTTAGCTTTTTTAAATTTTAGTAGCAGTTGGACCAAGGACCCTTGTACTGAGCTACATCCCCAGCCTGTTGAAAATTTTTTGGTTTTTAATTTTGCTATCGAATGCTGCTGTTTTTCTAAGTGCCCCAGGCTAGACTTGAACTCATGATTCTTCTGCCTCTACCTCTCAGAGTGCTGGGATTACAGGCATGTGCCTCTGTGCCCAGCTGATTTCCAGTTGTTTCTTATCACCAGTGTCCTGTCCAGCTATGAAGGTACCCACCTAGAGCCAGAGCCTCCCTCTGGGATCTCTGTGAGTTGCCTCCAGGAAAGTTGTAATGCCTGTGCCCGGCAGTCCTTATTATCCTGTTAAGCATATATTTATTCGTAGTGCTGGGTTCAAATCCGGACCTGCCGCCGAGCCACACCTCCAGCCCTATGCCAACTTTTTCCTGAGGTACAACTACATGTCACAGAGACATAGCTTATGTGCCTGTTCATGGCAGATGGCTCTCCAGAAGCCCCTGCTGTCCTTCCCAGGGATGGGTGCCGTCCTCTGGCAACCACTGTCCTGACTTCTGTCACCCTGAGTTCATCTTGCCTGCTGTTGGAGTCATGTTTATTTTTAAACCTTTGTTAGTACCAGGGATTGAACTCACGACCTTGTGCTTGCAAGACAGGTGCTTATGCAGCTGAGTTGAATCCCTGGCCCTGGAATCATGTTTAGACATGCCCTTGCCTTGTGCATATAGGTGCTGTGGGCAAGGTTCTTGGTGTAGGAAGCTTGCTCAGGGCTCTGTGTCTTGAGCTTGCTTAGCGTGTGCTACACAAGCGATCCCTTACAGCATTGGCACTTTGCTGTCACAGGCATGTGCCCTGACTCAGCAGTGTCCTGACTCTCTGTCTCCTCTCTCATTCTCTCTAGGTGACCGTGCTGCTTACTGCAAGGCGGCCAATAAACGGGTTATGGACGTGATCCACTCAGCCAGGACCCGCCAGCAGATGCTGCACACCCAGACCTTCCATAGTGATTCCTTGTTGACCCAGGAAGAGGCAGCAGCTGCTGGCGATCGCAGGCCAGCGCCTGACACTTGGATTTATCCGCTGATCCAAATGAAGCCCTTCGAGATCCAGATCGATGAGATTGTCACTGAGACCCTGCTGACTGAGGCTGAGCGAGGTGCCAAGGTCTACCTCACCACTGGCTACTTCAACCTGACCCAGGCCTACATGGACCTGGTCTTGGGCACACGAGCCGAGTACCAGATCCTGCTGGCCTCCCCAGAGGTGAATGGCTTCTTTGGGGCTAAGGGAGTCGCTGGCGCCATCCCTGCGGCCTACGTCCACATCGAGCGGCAGTTCTACAGCGAGGTGTGCAGCCTGGGGCAGCAGGAGCGGGTCCAGCTGCAGGAGTACTGGCGGAGGGGCTGGACATTCCATGCCAAAGGTACGTGAGGGTCAGCACAGCTCCTCCTTTCCCCGCCTGGGCAGCTCGTCGTTCCCTGGTGGGGGCCAGGCGGGCTGGACTTGTAGCCCAGTGGAGGACCCTTCTGTAGATGCTGCAGGGAGTCCTGGCTGCCTTCCCTCCGTGTCTCCCACGGTTCTCTCACAGTGTTATGGCGGCCCCACTCCTGGGGAGGGGAGAGCAGTCCTGTTCTTTTTTTTTTTTTTTTTTTTTTTTTTGTCTTTTTCGTTTTTATCAGTACCAGGGATTGAACTCATGACTGCCTGCTTGCAAGGCAGGCACTTATGCCGCTGAGCTAAATCCCCAGCCCCAGGAGAGCAGTCCTGTTAAGTGAATTTCAGTTGTGTAAAATCTCTCCTTTGTATACATCAAAAACTTTCAGAAATCATTTTGGTGGCTATTTTAAAAGAAACGTGGTACGGACGTGGTGGTGCAGACCTGTCGTCCCAGTGCTCCGGAGCTGAAGCGAGAGGGTTACAAGTTTGAGTCCAGCCCAGATGACTTACCCACTTAGTGAGACCTTGTCTCCGAATAGAAGAGGGCTAGGGCGTAGCTCAGGGTGAGGGCCCTGGGCTCAGTGCCCAGTTCCTGAGAACAAAAACAAAGCAAAAATCCGAACGTGGTACGGGTCACCTCCTCTAAAATACAGGGTCAGGACAAGACTTGGTCTTGTCTCCATGCCTTGCAGACTTCCTTGTGGATCGTGGGCTTATGATTAAGCAGCGCAGTTTCCCTGTCTTTCCCTCACCACTGCTGCTTTTTCCTTTTTGTGCTGATCTTCACTCACAAACCCCCCCAATTGGGAAAGTGGAGACTATGTATTCATATACAGTTTTTACTTAGCTGGAGTCCTGGATACTTGATGAAGAGACCTGTGATGGGAAATGAATAATAATTTGAATTGCATATTTCTTGTGGTCATCTCAGGCATCCAGCAGAGCAGCTCAGGTGGGGCACAATCTCAGGTATACCTCCCTGAGACATAGATCAGTGTGTTTAAAATGTTACACTTAGCCAGGTATGGTACACACTTGTAATCCATAATACTTGATAGGCTGAGGCAGGAGGATTCCAAGTTTCAGGCCAAACTGAAGAACTAAGTGAGATTCCATCTTTTTTTTTTTTTTTTTTTTTTTTTTTGTCTTTTTTTGTTTTTTTTATCGGTACCAGGGATCGAACTCACAACTGCCTGCTTGCAAGGCAGGTGCTTATGCCGCTGAGCTAAATCCCCAGCCCCGTGAGATTCCATCTTAAAGTAAAATAAAAAGGTCTGGGAGTGTAGCTGGTGGTCGAGCACTTGTCCAGCATGCACGAGGCCTGGGGTTTAATCCCCAGCATCAGATCAATCAATCAGTCCATCAGTCAACTCATTCTCATGCTTGGCAACCCCAATAGCCCCTTAGAGATGTGTGCTGCCCACCTCTGGCAGGATGAGCATATCTAGGGTCTCCCTTACTGGATGTGGGCGTGGCCCTATGCCTGAGAGGTGCAGAAACACCTGGGACTGCTGGGCTGTGTGGTCTGTGTGTCGTTTCTCCACTCCTCTCAAGGTCACCCTGAGGCCCATTTTGCCAGGCTTCCATGGACCTGTATCAGTTCTGTTCAGACTTGGGGCATTTTCTTTCTCCTTTTTTCTTTTTCTTTTTCCTTTTCCTTTCTTTTTCTTTTTTTGGCGACAGGTTCTTACTATGCTGCATACGCTGGTCCTGAACTCCTCTGTGTGCTGGGTCTACAGGCAGGTGCCACCACTACCCCAGACTGAAGCCAGGCTTTTCCACATGGCTCCTTCTTAAGAAATTACCCAGCGGTTCACACACCTGAGTCTAGCTCTGTGGATTCCGAATTTAGCCTGATACCTTTATTTTTTTGAGACAGGGTCCTGGTGAACAGTCTAGGCTGGTTTCAGACTTGCTGTGTAGCCCGGGCAGGTCCGATGTCATGATCCTCCTGTCTCAGACCCCCAGTCCTAGGATTATGGGTATGGAACATCACACCTAGCAAATTGGTATTTTAATTAAATGAATTAGTTTGTTAACTTATTTGCTCTACTGGGAATTATACCTAGGCATGGTGATGGTGAATCTTTAGAGCTTTGAGTGCTAACAGATATGCCACAGGTCCATCACTGATAGGCCTTTTGCATGCTGGGCAAGTGCTCTCCCTATTGTTAAGCTATATCCTTCATCTTTTATTAACATTTTTAAAAATTTTGAGACAGGTTTCTCTGAGTGGCCCAGATTGACCTTGAACTCTCACCTCAGCCTCCTGTGCTGCAATTGCAGGAATATAGGCATGTGCCACTACTCCTGTTTCAGCCATGGTTTTATTTCTATTTTGTATTTTATGTTTCATTTTACTTTTGGTACTGGGGTTGTTTGTTTATTTTTGTTATTTTGGGACAGGGTATCACTTTGTAGCCTAGGCTGGCTTCGAATTCACAGTGATCCTCCTGCCTCAGCTTCCCGAGGTGCTGGGATCACAGGTGTGTACCATCACACCTGGCATTTTATTCATTTTTGAGACAGTTTCACTAAGTTGCTAAGTTAGCCAGGCTGGGTTTGGGCTTGTGATTCTCCATTTTGACTTCTGAGAGTGCTGGGATTATAGGTGTGCATCGCTGTACCTGGCTTGTTATATATTCCTTTATTGGATACTAGAGGTTGAATCCAGGGCTTCTGAATGAGGTGAATGTTACACTTGTGAGCTACATGTTCATGCAAACATTATTAAAAAGAATGTTTTTTGGCTGGGGATCAAACTGAAGGCCTCACACGTACTAGATAAGAATTCTGCCTCTGAGCTCCATCCCTGACTGCTACCCTGGTACTTTTTTTAAAAACCCAGGAAGTGAGACATGGTGATACAAACCTGGAATCCCTGCACTTGGAGTCTGAGACCAGGTGAATGTGAGTTCAAGGACTGCCCACGTCACACAGGGAGATCTTGTCTCATCAGAAACAGAAAGGAAGATAGGAACAGCAAACCCACCCCAGCAGTTCTGATGCCCTGCTTAGAGAGGCCCTGCTCAGCCTAGCCTGGCGGAGCTGCTGCCTGGCCAGTGGCTCCTGCTTGTCCTGTGAGGCCTCGAGTCTGCCCAGGCTGTCAGCACTGTGTGTACTGTTGGCTCACCTTGCATGGCACAGGCCAAACCGGGCTGGTGGTCAGTGTCTGGAGGGAGGCAGGGCTGCTGGGTTAACGTGGAAGTGACTTCCAGGTTGGCCTTGTGACTTCTGGGAATCACAGCAGCACTCAGCTAGGGGTGTGGGCTGTGGAGAGGATTTGGAGAGGCACTGCCACATGCCACACAGCCCTGCAGGGACATGGCCGGACCTCGCTCTCCCTTGGTGCTCATGGCCTCAGACCCCAGCTCTGCCTGCAGGGCGGCGGGCTCCTGGCCTCCAGGTTCTGGCTCTGCTGCCGGCCGTTTCCCTGAAACCGGCTGACAGGTGTGTGGTGAGTCCTGGTTGCGACTGAGGCAAACACCCAGCTGGCTTTTCCTGCACTCCGCGCCTTTTCCCGACTGTGAGCGCCTCCCGCCTGCTGCCTCCCTTCTGCCTGCCCTGCTGCGGGTGGGGCCCTGCCGCCTGGGAGAGCTCAGTTAGCAGGGTGGCAGGGATCCTGGGGCACGTGGGAGTGTGTGTGAGTGAGTAAGTGTGTGTGTGTGTGTGTGTGTGTGTGCGCGCGCGCGGTGGGGATGGTGTAGTAGGTATGGGCGCGGTGTGAGGCATGAATGGCAAGGGTTCTTGTAAGTAGAATATGGCTGCCCTGGAGCCAGGACACCGAGGTCTGCTCACTGTCTGCTGAGGTGAGGGGCCAGGGCCTTCCCTGCTGAGGCTGAGCTCCATGGTACAAGCTTACGTCAGCAGCCTTTTCTGTCCAGCTCATCTGTCAGTGGTCTCATCCTCCAAAGCAGCCTGCACTGGGGGAAGGGCTGGCAGCCCACATGGTAGTGATGGGTATTTCCTGTAAGGCCTGTAGTAGCACACTCTGTGGGCCTGGTTGGGTGTGCCTGTGTTGGGCCCCAGAAACTCCTGCTAATCTTATGCAGTTTATACCTGGGTTCCCTTACCCAGCTCCTGCAGGACAGGCCCAGGCTGATTTCAGCTCCTCCTGCTCCCAGAATCCCTTAGGCAGAGGGTTCCAGATCCGCATACCCTGGCTGCATCCTGTTTGACAGCATACCATTCCCTGCGAGTCAGGCAGCAGGATGGGATGGGGGACTGTGTGTTGGTTTGCTGGTGGTTTTACAAGGTTGGTTTGTTCCCTGGCTGGGGGAAGCACATAGGCAGTATGGGGCAGAGACTGCCTTCTCGTGGGAAGAGACCGTAGTAGTGGATTTGAGTGCAACTGATGGCAGCAGAGGCTGCAGGCTGGAGCTTGCTCTCTAGTGTCCTTTGTGTTACTAGGCACTGCTGGGAATGGCTGGCGTGGGTTGCTCAGATGCCTGGTGGGGAAGATTCTGTGTGGCACCATTTACTGCAGCAGTGTTTATTCTGTTAGCAACCTGCGTGGAGCTTTGCCTCATTGGCATACCTCACTGATGTCTGGTCAGACATCAGCTTTAAACTGTGCTGCTTCCAAGAACCACAGGCACCTTCTACTATTTAAAGGCGTGCCCTGGAGACCTTCGTAGTTTTTATTTGAATTTTGCAAAGTATGTCTGTTAGGTCCAAAGACACTGCATACGCTTCATTCGGTGTGAGAGGTATCACATGCACAGTCTATGGCCTGGTTCTTGGGCAAATTTGCCTTGGCAGAAACTGAGGGAACTGGTTCCATTTCCTTCCTGTGCAGTGGGATGGCACTCGATTGTCAGGAGGCACGGAAGTGGGACACGCGTGGGTTTTCGTAAGATGACTGGCCGCTCTCAGCTAGGTGGGGTGTCTTGGGGCCACTAGAGCACATGATGTCAAAACTGTGCTCTGAGGAGTGGCTCTAGGGTACAGAGCAAGTGGTCAATGGCTGGGCATCGGGAAGCCTGG